TCTCAAAAATAAATCTGGAAAATAACCATTCGGATACATCGAAACGATCCCGACGTACATTGAAAAATGAAGATTATCCAAGAGAGCCATTTAAAAAAAAAAAAAAAGAACACGAAAAGCTCAAGATAACATTCCGGAATATTTTGCGATATGAATGCAATATAAATTCCTGAATATTTGACATTTTAAAACAAAGTGAAGTGGGGGGGACCTTACCATCAACCCTTAAAACTCGCTGGTTAAAACCCCGGTTAAAAGCTCAGAGAGCGACGAAAAAAAACGACGTTCCAATCCTACGTCGGTTCGTATCGTTTAAATAAAGGAACCCCATTCCTGATTTAAGCATCCTTGGACCGTTTTATTGTCAAACCGAATCCGATACCTATTATTATTATTATTATTATTATTATTATTATTATTATTATTATTATAAAATAAAAAAGAAGCAGCAGGAATTCCAAGCATTTTTACACTCCAATCAGATCCACGGAGGGAGGGGGATTTATTTCGCTCAGATCCTGCCCTCTCCCCCTCCCCCCCCCAAACCCCCCCCTCCCCAAAAAACGAGCCCCACAGCGAAGGAGTTAAAAGATGCCAGCATCCCCATTTATTAGGAGAGGGCTCTCTATTGTAAACACATGTAGTTCCCATGGCAACCAGAGTCAGGTTCCTTGGTTACAGATGGAGGAGAGGAAAATTGGGGAGGGGGGCCGGAGAGGTGGAGGACAGAAAATGGAGGAACAGAAGGAGATTTTTTTAAAAAAAAATAATAATAATAATAATTTTAATTTTTTTGTTTTTTTAATCAAATCCTTTCCTGGGATTCCTGAACACGTCACCCGAAAAGGAAGAAGATGGAAAAAAATCTTATTTTGATTTTTTTTTAAAAAAAATATGAGGTAGGGGATAGCTGGAAAGTTGCAAAGGAGGGGGCCAGGAGGAAGAGGATTGTTCTGAATTTGGGGGAGGGGGCTTCAATGCCCCCTTTTAGGGGTGTATAGATAGATGGATGGATGAAGCTTTCCGGAGTGTGTCCCAATCAAGGCAAATTTCGCACCCAGTCCCTTTGAGGGGCGACGGCTACCCCCCCTCAAAAAAACCCATGACCCCCCCATTTCCCCCTCCAACAGAAATAAGGCGGGCTTTGCATCCCCCAGACCCAAATCGCGGTCTCTCCCTCCCCTCTGCGAGGACAGGAGGCGTCTCTGCCGGTTTGAGGGATTCACGGGGAGGGGGCTTTCTCGGCCGCCAAATTGCTCAGTTCTGGGCCCCCCCAGGTGCCGAAAGACCCTCCCCTCAAAAAAAAAAAAGCCCCCACAAGGCTGAAGATTGAGATAGATGATGTAGATAGATAGATGACCCCCCACCCTAAAAAAAATCCAGTGCTTTCCTAGCCCTTCAGTGGGGAGGGGGCTTCAGTGGGTTCCAGATCCTCAGGAATCTTGTTTTTGAGATTTCAGCCCCTTCCCCATAAACTTAAACCCCTCTCCCCATCCCGGGTTTGCCAGGCCCTCCCAAAATTGCCCCCCCCCCCCCTTCTCCCCCCCCCCCTTCTCCACCCTGGTCAGAGAACCCCCCCCCCCCCCCCCCCAAATTGCCTTGATCTCTGCTTTGGATGCCCCCCCCCACCCTTCGTCCTCTCCCCCAAACCCCTAAGATCCAGACCCCTGCCCTTCTCCTTTCCCCCCCTTTAGACCCTTCCCCAGTCACCCGCTCTCCCTTTCCCAATCCTTAAGCCCCCTCCCTCCCTTCCAGAGCCCTTAAGACCCTTCCTCTCTCTTCCCTGGCCCTTCAGACCCCTGCACCTGCCCCCCCCATTCCACATTCCCCAGCCCCTAAGACCCCTGCCCTTCCTTCCCCAGTCTTTGAGCCCCCTCCCCATCCTTCCTACGCCCCCTGCCCTCTGAGCCCCTTCCTCTCCTTTCTCTCTGGCCCTTAAGCCCCTTCCTCTCTCTTCCCTGGCCCTTCAGTCCCCTGCCCCCCCCTGCCCTGCTCCCCCTCCCTTCCCTGGCCCTTGCGCCCCCTCCTCTCCCTGCCCTGCTCCCCCTCCCTTCCCTTAAGCCCCTTCCTCTCTCTTCCCCGGCCCCTAAGCCCCCTGCCCTTCCTTCCGCAGTCTTTGAGCCCCCTCCCCATCCTTCCCCAGCCCCCTGCCCTCCGGCTCCTTAGCCCCCTCCTGTCCTCTCTCTTCCCTGGCCCTTCAGCCCCCTGCCCCCCCCACTCCCCCTCCCCTAAGCGCCCTCCCCTCCCTTCCAGAGCCCTTCAGCCCCTTCCTCTCTCTTCCCGGCCCCTAAGCCCCCTGCCCTTCCTTCCCCAGTCTTTGAGCCCCCTCCTTTCTACGCCCCCTCCCCTCCTTTCTCTCTGGCCCTTGAGCCCCCTCCCCTCCCTTCCGGAGCCCTTTCCTCTCTCTTCCCGGCCCCTAAGCCCCCTGCCCTGGGCCCCCTGCCCTTCCTTCCTCCCCCAGTCTTTGAGCTCCCCTCCCCATCCTCCTCCGGCCCCTGAGCCCCCTCCCCTCCTTTCTCTCTGGCCCTTGAGCCCCCTCCCCTCCCTCCCAGAGCCCTTCAGCCCCTTCCTCTCTCTTCCCTGGCCCTTCAGCCCCCTGCCCCCCCCGCTCCCCCCCCCCTAAGCCCCTCCCCTCCCTTCCAGAGCCCTTAAGCCCCTTCCTCTCTCTTCCCCAGACGCTAAGCCCCCTGCTCTTCCTTCCCCAGTCTTTGAGCCCCCTCCTTCCTACGCCCCCTGCCCTCCGGCCCCTGAGCCCCCTCCCCTCCTTTCTCTCTGGCCCTTGAGCCCCCTCCCCTCCCTCCCTCCCAGAGCCCTTCAGCCCCCTGCCCCCTCCCCTGGGCCCCATGCCGGGGTGGGGGGAGGGTGGGACGAGGGACCCCCACTCACATGCCAGATGACGAAGAAGATGAGCGAGGCGCAGAGGACCAGCGTGAGCATGTAGCAGAAGGCGGCGAAGGTGAAGGCCATGGCGGGGGGGGGGGGGGGGGGGGGGGCCGGGGGGGGGGGGGGGGGGCTACTCGGCCATCGGAGGCGCCGGGCCGGGGTCTCCCACAGCCGCGGCAGCCGCTACGAGACCGGCGGGAGCAGCCGCGACGCCCCCCGCATCCTCCCGGCTCCGCCGCCGTCTGCCGCCGCGGAGAAAGTGAGGAGGGGGGGGGCGGGGGGAGGAGCCAGAACTCGGAGGGGGCGGGGATAGAACGCCCGGGGGGGCGGAGCCAATCTGCACAGGGGGGCGGGATCAGGGGGTGGGGAGGGCCGGTGGGGCTCATGGGTGGGTTTTTTTGGGTGGGTGGGTGGGGCTTTGGGGGGACCCCCCTCTCTGAAGCTGCCACAACTTCGGGTTTTGGAAAGGGGGGGCGGGATGGACTCCAACTCCCATCGTCCCCTACCGAGAAAGACCCCCCCCCTTGACTCATCAACCACAAAGGTCTTCCTTCTCAGGAGCTGGGCCCTGCTGGACTACAAATCCCATCCTTCCCCCCCAGTTGGCCGGGCAAAAGGCAGGCTTTGGAATAGAATAACTGTAGAATTGGAAGGGACCTCAAGAGGTCTTCTAGTCCAACCCCCCTGCTTAGGCAGGAAACCCTCCACCCCTGCGGTTTGTAAGCCAATGTTCCACAACCTTGGACAGTTGAGGATGGTGGGGGGGGGGTGGTACTCACCCACTCCCATCTTGCCGGCTTGGGGGGGGGGATTCTGGGAGTTGAAGTCCAGTTCAGAAGCTCCTGGGTAAGTTAAAGATCAGCTCAACCTACCTTTCAGGGTTGTTGTGTGGCAAAAGAGGAGGAGGAGGAGGGGGGGGTGTCCCTTTATAGGGAAAAAGCTGAATATAAATATAAATGAAAGCTTCATCTGGACAGCAGCCCAAAATTCTCCCCCCCCTTTCTTCCTTCGTGGTATCTCTTTTGTACAAAATTCAAAAGTTGGCTCAGTTTGCAGGCCTAAACCATGGCTAGTTAATTTCTGGTTTGTCCCCCCCCAGTCTTGTTTCCTAAATAAATCCACAGTTCCTAGCCGGGATGTGTAGTTTTCCAGCTTTGGTACAAAACCTCGAACCGACATCTATCAAAACAGGTGGAGCTTGGAAAAAACCCCCTCCTCCTTCCATCAAGCTAATCCTGGTTAAATCTAAGCTAGCTTGGCAGGTTGTGCGAAGGCAGCCGCGGCAAGATCTTTCAGAGAAAAAAAAAAAAAAACCTGGTTTAAGGGCATTGTGTGAAACGGAGCTGGCTCTGTAGCCGTTCTTAATGGCACCCGTGGGCGCCAGGTTGCAGACCCCAAGGGAAGCCGCGCGGTGGAAGAGCACCCTCTGCTGTCCCTCTTCTAGAAATTTCTGCAGGATGGGGGAAGCTGCCATGGGGAGGTCGCCACCGAGGCGTTAAGACCGATTAAATAAAAATAAAAGGATAAAAGAAATTATTTAAATATTTCAATTAAATCTTGAATTTGCAAAAGGCCAGTTGAAATATCCTGCCCAACCTGGTTAAAACAGCAGCCGAACTACCTCGCAGGGTTGTTGTTGCATGGGAAAATAATAAGGGGGGGGTACTAGGTTCATTGCCAGTTTATAAAAATAATAAAAGGCGGGACACAAGTGAAATAAACGCATAAATCAATTGCCAGTGGCAGGGCCGTCCATCGGGATCCTTTCCCGCAGATCGGGTGCTTTTCCCTTTTCAACCACCAGAGGGCAGCATTCTTCTTTCCTATACAGCCACCGCCAATCTCAAGTCCGCTGGGGAATTCTGGGAGTTTAAAGTTTATTGCTTAGCGCACTGTAAGCCGCCCTGAGTCTCCGGAGAAGGGCGGCATATAAATCAAATTTTTTTTAAAAAAAGTCGCCCCCCCTGTTCGAGCCGATTCTTAGCCAAAATTAGCGCAACGAATTAAACCAGGATGCATCAAACCGTGGTTCGAGATCTCAACCCCGCCGCCGTCGTCGTGCAGGGCGTAAAAAAAAAAACAAATAAATAAATAAACCACATACACACGCAAACCGAGCCTGGAAAATCCTCATTTTGCAAGAGGCTGGTTATGTTTTATTCGGTTTTTTTTTTCTTTCTTTCTTTCTTTCTTTCTTTCCCTCCCTCTTTTTTCTTTTTTTTCTCTTTTCCTCTCGTATCTGTGGTTTTGTATAATGTCACTTGTGGAAAAAAAAAACAAAACGAGCGGACGAAATCGAGAGCCGACGGAAAACTTTTCCACCCCGCGACGGGGGTCCCTGACGTTCCTTAAATAAAGCGGGAGTGGGTGGGGGGGTGGGGTCGGGCGAGGAAGGGGACCAGCGAGCGAGCGAACGAGCGAGGATGAGACGGACGAAGGAAAGGACCACCGGGGCAGACAAGTGGCTGGGGAAGGAAAGGACTTCCTGCTGCTAAAAATAGAGGGGGGGAAGGGGCAGATTTGGGGGCAGGGGGCTCGGCCCAGCAGCATGGGAAGAGATATCTGGCGGGGGGCGGAAGGGGGGGGTTACATTTGGTCATTGATACACAGGGAGGTGAGAGAGGAAGAGGAAAAAAATGGGGAGCCCGGGGGGGGGGGGAACACACAAGGGAGACCCTATAAAATTATTCACAAGCTCGAGGGGCTGCCCAGCAGAGATACATTCATTGACCGTGAAATGCAGAAGCTGGGGGAAGACCCCCAATCCCCCCCCCAGCTCCACAGCCCCCCCATCTCCCTCTTCCTCCCCCCCCTCCATTTCGAGGGATTATTAAGCGGCCGATGGTGCTGGGAGGCAGGAAGAAATTGGGGAGAGGGGTGGCTGGGAGGGGGATTGGGGTGTATGTGTGCGTTGAAAGACCCTAGGGGTGAGGGGTGAGGAGGGAGGAGGAGGAGGGGGTTCAGGAAGGGCCAGGGAAGGAATGACATAGTCTTTCGGGGGGGACGGAGAGATGGAAATTTGGGTGGAATAAAAAGGAAACACCGTCAAACAGATGCAGGAAGGAGGGAGGGGTTGGGGGGGGTGGGAACAGCCTTCATTGGGGAGGGGGATCTCCTACTTAAGGGCAGGAGGAGGAAGAGGAGGAGATGAGGAAGCAGGCAGACTGAAAGGTGGAGATAGAAACGCTCAGCTTTGGATTACCAAATAGGGAGAGAGAGATTTGGGGCTGGGGGGGGGGGGGGGGGGGGGGAAGGAGGGGAGGAAGGGGGGCTGAGACAACCCCCCTTGCAGTAAAAGAAAGGGCCACCCAGTTCCTGCCTAGAGGAGTGGGAACCCTCTCTCTCCCCCCCCCTCCTCACACACACACAGCTAAAGACCCCCCCCCCCTCCAACTCGGAGCAGCAGCTGCGCTGGGAGAAAGGCCCCGTCCCCTCCGGCACGGAGGTATCATCCGGAAAGCCCCCTTCGGAGAATGAAAAAAAAAAAATAGGAGGAGGAGGAAGGGGCTGGACGGTGGGGAGGGGGGGGGGCAGGACCCCGCTGTCCCGGCCTGTCCCAGGCCCCCCCCCATCCGTCCCCCCCTCCCCTCAAAGCCATCATGTCCCTCCTGTTCAGCAACAGCCGCCTCCTCCTTGTTTGACCGGAGTGCTGTCGATTCTCAAGTTGGGCCGGTCCCCGCCGGCCGTGGCCCCGGGGCCCATCCGTTTCTTGATCTCGGCCGCCATGGTCATGAACGACTGCTCCACGTTGGTGGCGTTCTTGGCACTCGTCTCCAGGAAGGGGATGCTCAGCGAGTCGGCAAACTCCTGGGGGGGGGGGGGGCGGAGGGAGATAAAAAGAGAGGGGAGGGGTGAGGAGAGCGAGCGAGCCAGAAACCGGAGCGGGAGGTCAGGGGAACGGCCCGGTTTCGGGGAGTCCTCGGACTTACGACCCCCGTTGGGGGATCAGGTGAACGTCAAAAGAGACGCTTCCGGTTCCCAAGGAGAGATGCTCCCACCCATTGGACGCCCCCCCCTGCAGCAGATCTTGACTGGGAACGGAGGGAGAATGTTGTGGAGCAGCCGAATCAAGAGGAGGAGGAGGGTGTGTGGGAGTCGGGGTCAGCATCGAGGCAGCTCCGAGGGGGAAGCGGGAATGGGGGTGCCAGAGAGAGAGAGACAGAGGCGGAGCCTGGGCCGTCAGTCAGCCCTCAGATGGAGAGTCAAGAGCCCCCAGGTCTGGAGGTGGCTGATGAGGAGGAGGAGGAACAGCTGGGTCTGGTGCCTGATAGAAAGCAAGAGGAGAGGAGAGCAGTGGAAATCTATGGGCCGGTCCTTGGGACGGAAGAGCCACCGCTGCTAGCGAAGCCCCACTTTAGCTCTGGGGAGAAAAGGCAGGGGGCGGAGATGAATAGGTGTGGCAGACGACGATTCGTCTCCCTGCCGGATGGACTTGTGCGGTGAGAGAGAAACTTTTTGCCGGGGCTGCCGATTACAGAGGGTTTGTAGTGTTTGGGGAGCTGGCTCAGAACAGAGGGGTCCTGAAAATTCCCACGGCTGGAGGCTCACCTTGGCGGTTGTGTAGTCCACCACCTTCTTTGTGGTTAAGTCACACTTGTTGCCGACGAGCAGCTTGTTGACGTTCTCGCTGGCGTAACGCTCAATCTCCTGCAGCCACTGCTTGACGTTGTTGTACGATTCCTGGACGACCGAGAGGGAGGAGCAAGGTGAGGATTGAAGGAGCCAAGTGCTACTCCAACACCCATACCTCTGGAGGGGGGGGGGCGGGGATCTTAAAGGCCAGGTGGGCATTCGCCAGCCACGATTTCCAGGTGGGAGGACTTCAACTCCCAGAATTCCAAATAGGAAGACTTCAACTCCCAGAAATCCACCCGGGAGGACTTCAACTCCCAGAATTCCACCCGGGAGGACTTCAACTTCCAGAATTCCACCCGGGAGGACTTCAACTCCCAGAATTCCAAATAGGAGGACTTCAACTCCCAGAATTCCAAATAGGAAGACTTCAACTCCCAGAATTTCACCCGGGAAGACTTCAATTCCCAGAATTCCATCCGGGAAGACTTCAACTCCCAGAATTCCACCCGGGAAGACTTCAACTCCCAGAATTCCATCCGGGAAGACTTCAACTCCCAGAATTCCATCGGTTCAACTCCCAGAATTCCACCCGGGAGGACTTCAACTCCCAGAATTCCAAATGGGAGGACTTCAACTCCCAGAATTCCAAATAGGAAGACTTCAACTCCCAGAAATCCACCCGGGAAGACTTCAACTCCCAGAATTTTACAGCCGGCATGGCCGAAGATGAGCTTTCTGGGAGTTGAAGTCCGCACAGCTGGATGTGGCGAATGGATGCGGCTTTGGGGCACAAAGGCCCTCGTTTAGCTACTCCAAAGGTCTGTCTCTCTCTCTCAGGGGTAAAAAATATCCTTTAAAAAATCCTCCCACGGACCGTTGGGCTGGCCCTCGATACTGAATTTCCCTGCGTTCGTGTCCCAACTTTTTCTGCAGCCGTTTGCCAAGGCAAGGACTTCCAACGACGGCCTTTAGCTGGTGGGACGGCCTGTTTCTCCTTCCCCCTGTAATTATTATTATGCCCTTTTTAATTATTTTTGGGGACCTACCCGATTGTGGGATTCCAGTAAATTAAAACTCCCAAGCCAATAAACAAACAAAACCACCCAAAACAAGCATTGTACAACTGCAGAGAAACGAGGCACTGAGTTTTATTTGTCTCTGCTTTGATCTTTGCGTTGTGCCCGAGGTGTCTCCTGCCCTTCTGTTGCCTGAACAGCCACCCGAGTGCCACTCTACCTGATCCGTTACGTCGTAGACCACGATGATGCCGTGGGCCCCTCGGTAGTAGCTGGACGTGATAGTCCGGAACCGTTCCTGCCCAGCTGTGTCCCACTGGAGAAAGCGGAAAAGAGCGGGTTAACGGACAGAACCTCAGGCCCAAAACGGAAGACTGGCAGGTGGCCGGTTCTTCCAAGCTGAATTATTTATTGTTTCACTCCCAAATCTGACCGGATTAAGGACTCTACTATCTGCAGGATCCAATCTGAGTCGGTCAGCGGGATCAAAGGTTTATTCTTCCAAGCTTCCTGCCTCTACAATAGACTGTGGGAACTATTAGGAAGAGCCTGTCTTCACCCACTTTCTCTCACACGTAATATCCAGGCTGAGTTTGCCTCTTGCTTTTCTGGGATTTCGCCTCCTCCCTCCTGGAGAATCGCCCTCCTCACTAAATCCCATCACAAGGAAACAAAAAATGGTGGATATTAACTCTCAAGGGATTCTGGGCTTCACACATGTTTAAAAAATTAAGGCATAGAAATAAATAAAAACAAGCAACAGAATGTGATTAAAAACTGGGTGGGACACAAAGCACAGCCCCTTCTCAAAGAGGGCTACTTATTTTTTAAACATTGGACTGCCCGATTAGATGCGTTCTGGATGGACCTACGTCGGTATTTTTCAATTTGGCAATTTTAAGAGGGGTGGACTTCAACTCCCAGAATTCTCCAGTCATCGTGCTTTAAGATGGACCAACTCCCAGAATTCCCTAGCCATCATGCTTTAAGATGGACCAACTCCCAGAATTCTTCAGCTATCATGCTTTAAGATGGACCAACTCCCAGAATTCCCTAGCCATCATGCTTTAAGATGGACCAACTCCCAGAATTCCCCAGCCAGTATGCTCGAAGAGATGGACTTCAACTCCCAGAATTCCCTAGCCATCATGCTTTAAGATGGACCAACTCCCAGAATTCTCCAGTCATCGTGCTTTAAGATGGACCAACTCCCAGAATTCCCCAGCCATCATGCTTTAAGATGGACCAACTCCCAGAATACTTCAGCCATCATGCTTTAAGATGGACCAACTCCCAGAATTCCCCAGCCAGTATGCTTGAAGGGAGATGGACTTCAACTCCCAGAATTCCCTGGTCAGAATGCTTTAAGATGGATGGACTTTAACTCCCAAAATCCCCCCCCCCCTCACCATGCTAGATCTAAAAACTACATCCAAAGATTTAGTCAATGGTTCAAGAAAAAAAGGAAAGGAATTTTTGATTTTTAATCAGAGGCTCCTCCTGGCTCCACATCTGGAAAATGAAACCAAACCCAGACGGAGGTGGCCATCCAGCCGTCGGGACAGCTGCCCCAAAACTTACAATCTGCAGCTTAATGGTTTTGCCGTCCAGTTCAATGGTCCGGATTTTGAAGTCTACCCCGATGGTGCTGATGTAGCTTTCTGTGTAGGTGTCATCCTAGCATGGGGGGAGGGAAAAAAATTATGTCACCGCAGAGAAAATGATTCGTTCCTGTCAATCCCAGCCTTGATCCCCGTTAATTATTATAAATTGAATAAATAATAAAATAAAAAATAATTAGCCCGATCTGCAATTCTAGCCGTCAAAACTCTCCAAACAATTGCAAAAAATCACTGTGTTTTAAATCAATGCAACTCCCTTGGAAATGGAATTCAGGAGGAGGTCCAATCCGTGTTAAAGGAGTTTCATGGAAAAAAAAAATCCTTCCTCCCCCAAAACAAAGGGGATTTAAAATTGGAAGGTGGGGCAGGTAAGGAATTCCAGAAGCACAGTTCCTGTTTTTTTCTTTTAAAAAATGCTTTTATTTTTCTTGGCCTCACCTTCCCTCGATAACGCTCCTCAACTAGCAGCAGCTTTGCAACGGGAAAATATGTAAGAAAAATAGCCGTTTTGGGGGGGAATTGTAGATACTCACGGCGAACCGTAGCAAGAGGCAGGATTTCCCGACACCGGAATCTCCGATCAGAAGCAACTTGAACAGGTAATCACTGGGGGGGAAAAAAAATACACACAGACACACAAACAGATCAAAGTGGGGCAGGAACTTTAAATGGGTTTCTTAAGCCGGGGGGGGGGGGAGGAGGGAGACTCTAAATCCAGGTAGTCCTCGACTTACGACTACAATTGAGCCCAAAATTTCTGCTGCTAAGGTGAGACAGTGGCTAAGGGAGTTTTGCTCCATTTCACGACCCTTCTTGCCACCGTTGCTAAATGAATCGCTACAGTTCTTCGGTTAGCAACACGGTTAAGAGTCCGTTGGCTTTGCTTGTCGAAAAGTTGCAAAAGGGGACGATTAGGTGACTCCCCCACGACACTGCAACCGTTGTAAAAAGGACCCAGATACCAAGTGTCTGAATTTAATCACGTGACTGCAATGGTCTTAAGTGAGGGGGGGAGGAGGAACCAGTCACTAAATGAACTGTTGTAAGCCGAGAACTGCCTGTAATTTATCTCAAGACTCGGCCTTTGGGAACGAGAGTTTGGCCGTGCTTAAATGGCTGCATCAGACAGGCTAACTCAAGCTTTCCCATCCGGAGATTTTGGTAAATGGATTCTGGACTTCAAATCCCAGAATCCTCCTGTTGCATGACCTTCGCCCCGACTGGCAGAACCTGGGGTAGATCTCGGACCAGGCGAGCAAGTGATCTGATACGGCTCTGTCCCTTCCCCCAAGATGTGAACGGCGAATAAAGACAATTGCCAGAGGAAGTTTCTTAACCGAGCTTCTCTTGAGTGACAGGCAGGGAGGCGAACGAGAAGCTGGCGAGTCACGAGATGGGTGCGCTGGCACTTTTCCTGACTTAAAAAGCAAGGAGGGAGGGGCTCCCCCTAATCTTCTGGACAAGGGGGGGGGGGGGAGAGAGAGAGAAAGCGAGGGGTTTGTTCCACTTGCCGAATTATTTGTGGCTCAGGGTTGAAAGGAGGTCTAGAACCTGATGAGGCTACTAGTTTGGGTCATGAAACGTCGGTGAGAAAACAACCCAGCTCGGAGGGCACCGAGGACCCCACAGCCCTCCTCCTCCTCCTCCTCCTCCCTGCAAACCCCACTCCCTTCCAGCACTGATGATGTTACTTAGTTGGCTCATGAAACGCCTGCAAGACAACCACTGAGCTCAGGGAGCACCAAGGCTCACAGAGCCCTCCTCCTCCTTTTCCCCTCTCCCCTCTCCTCCCCTCCACAAGCCCCCACTCCCTTCTAACACTGAGGAGGTTACCTAGCTGGGTCATGCAACGTCTGCAAAAGCTCAGAGAGCGCCAAGGACCCCAAAGTCCACCTCCTCCTCCCTTCTAACACTGATGAGGTTACCTATCTGGGTCATGCAACGTCTGCAAAAGCTCAGAGACCACCAAGAATCCCGCAGTCCTCCTCCTCCTTTCCCTCTCTTCCTTCTCCTTCTCATCCCAAACTCCTTGCCTTCTGATGAGGTTACCTAGTTGGGTCATGAGACGCCTGCAAGAAAACCCACCAAGCTCAGAGAGCACTGAGGACCTTGCACCAGGTTTCTAGTCCTGTGGAAGTTCAAGCTACATCCAGCCCCAGTTCCTAACTTCAGCTCAAGAGAGCGAGGATTATAAGACAGGGTGTAAAAATAAAAAGTTTCCCAGGCAAGCATACTGCCTCAGAAGCCAGCAATTAGGGGTTACAGGTAGTTCTCGACTTACAGCCACAACTGAGCCCCAAATTTGGGTTGCTAGGCGAGAGTGAGTTTTGCCCCATTTTACGACCTTTTTTGGGTCGGTTTATAAGCCTAAATACTGTTGCCGTCTTGCCTTGTGTGTTAAATGGATCGCTGTTAAGCGAAGCATGCGGTCATTAAGCAGGCCAAGCTTCCCCTGTTGAAGGTCGCAAACGGTGCTCACAAGACACCCGCCCCGGGACAACGAAACCGTCACAAATACGAGTCAGTTGCTGAATTTTGATTGCTGCAACGGTCGTTAAGTGCGAAAACCGGGTACAAGTCACTTCCGAAAGTGCCATTGTTAACTTCCAACAGTCACTAAACGGACGGTTGTAAATTGACGCCTGTGACCAGATTACCCAGGCTGAAAATGGCTGAGAAAACGAAAGGCAATTTCGATTTTTTTTTAAAAAAAAGATCCTTTACGCCGATTGCTAAATGCGTAATATTTCCACCATCCCACCAGCTTTTCAGGAGGAAGCAACCATCCGTAACCACAAGACGACACTTCCTAACGCCAACAGAAAAATTCTCTTTCGGCCCCGCTCCTATTTTTAAGACCACATCCTTTCTCCTCCGGAGAAGAGGGGTGTGAGGCTCAGAGCTAGGGAGCAAAATGCTTTTAGGCTCGAAAACACCCTCCCGATATTTTAAGATGCAGGGCTGCGCGGAGCTGCAATGCTTCGGCATGAAATATTTAAGGCTCCACAGATCCCAAAAGATTCCCAAGAGCAGGTTGGGTTTCCTGCAATTTTCCACCACACACCGACGTCTGGCAGAGGGTGCTTTGATTTTTCCCGGCAAGGCACGCACCTTGCAAGGTAGACCAGGACCACAATTCCATCACCCACGACAATCCCAAGGTGTGCCACAAGCACGTTGCAGGCTGGGAGTGTAAAGGAAGTGAGTTGGTGGTGGTGACACCCACCGGAAGATCTTGCTTAAAAGATGAGCAAGGCAACCATGATTGACATCTTGTCGGAAAGACTTTGGACACCAAATACGTTGCCAGAAGTGTCAACTAACAAGTCCTTCTCGGTAAATGTTGAGACTTGGGGGAAAAAGTGCAGAGAAGAGCAACTGAGAGGATCAAAAGGCCTGGAGACTAAAACATGAAGAATTTGGGTTTGGCTAGTCGAGAGAAAAGAAGGACTGGGGGGGACGGACGGACATGATAGCAGTATTCCAGGATTCGAGGGGCTGCCCCAAAGAAGAGGGGGGTCCATTTATTTTCCAAAGCACCTGAAGACAAGAAACAACGGGTGGAAACTCATCAATAATAAAATTATTATTATTATTATCAAGGAGAGAGAAGCAACCTGGAATTAAGGGAGAAACTTCCTAACAGTGAGGACAATTAGCCAGTGGAACAGCTTGCCACTAGAAGGTGTAGGTGCTTCATCACTGAAGAGACCGGACAGTCGTTTGTCTGAAACGGTATAGGATCTCTTGCTTGAGCAAGGGGCTGGACTAGAAGACCTCCAAGGTCCCTTCCGGCTCTGTTCTGATTGAAATCCAGACGTGCTGTGGGCCACAGCAAGCTGGAGATGCTTTGATCATCATCGCCTCGCATCTCTAATCTACCATCAGGAATTGTAGGCCAGAGGTTCTGGAGAACGTGAGGTGCTGGTAGGTCTGTCTCCTCAACCGTCATGCGATCCTGGTTAAAAAGAAGCACCTTGAACCATCATTTTTGGTTTGGAGAAGGACACCTCACAGAAGTAACACTAATCCTCAACACAACAACAAAAACCATCCTGAATCAGATGATAGTGGAACCATGGCTGAAACAGCCCGAGATTCCACTACAGGTAGTCCTCGCCTTACGACTGCGATTGAGCCCCCCCCCAATTTTCCGGTGCTAAGCGAGACATTTGTTACGTGAATCCTGTTCCCTTTCTTGCCACGGTTGTTAAGCGAATCACTGCGGGCCGTTAAGTTAGGAACACGGTCGTTAAATGAATCTAGCTTCCCTATTTGCTTGCCAGAAGGCCGCAGAAAGGGTGTCACGTGGACCCCGCAACCGTCATAAATATGAGTCAGTTGCCGAGCCTCTGAATTTTGATTCTGTGAGAGACGCTGCAAGTTGTAAATGCGAGTGACGGTCCTAGGCCATTTTGCTTTTTCAGGGCTGTTGTTCATACTAAAATATGAACGGATTTGTCAAGCCTGAATTTTGATCACATGACCACAGGGATAACACGAAGGTCGTAACTGCGAATAATGGCTCTGGGTCACTTTGGTCAGACTTGAAATGGGTCACTAGACGAACGATTGAAAGTTGAGGACTACCTGGGCTTAATTTTGACGTTCTGAGAAGTGCCCCTGGAATGCGTAAGTTTGCTTTATGAGGCCCAAGTCCTTCAGTCCACGGTGCCTCTGAGCTCCTGCAGAGTGCTTGCTCTGCCTCTTCCACACAGTGAGTAAAGTCCAACTTCCTGTCACTTGGCATTAAGCAACGACTATGATGAGTCAGACTAAGACTACTAAGGGCCCCTGATTGCATTTGCAACATCGGAGTAACCTTCGCCGATCCATCGGATGGCCTCTGTTGATTGAGCAACCCGTCTCCTACAGTGCCTGACCAGATTACGGGCAGTCCTGGACTTACGACCATAACTGAGCCCGAAATTTCTGTTGTTCGGTGAGAAAAAGTGAACGTGGCCCCGTTTTAAGACCTTTTCCGTGCCACGGTGGTTAAGTGAAACCACTGCGGTCGTTAAGTTTGAGATACGGTTGTTAAGCGAATCTGGCTTCCCCCATCAGGTCGCAAAAGGGGATCATGTGACCCCCGGGACACTGCGACGGTCATAAATATGAACCAGCTGCCGAGGGACTGGATTCTGATCATGTGACCATGGGGATGGTTCAACACCACCACTAAGGAGCCTTGGTGGTGCAGCAGACTAAAGTGCTGTTAAGTAGCACTTAGCTGCCTGCAATTACTGCGAGTTCAAATCTCACCAGGCTCAAGTTTGACTCAGCCTTCCATCCTTCCGAGGTAGGTAAAATGAGGACGCGGATTGTGGGGGCAATAAGCTGACTTTGTATAAAAAAGAACACCGGTTAGTGGGAGCCGAAATACCTACTTATATATAGTATATATCTACTAAGTATACTACTACCTACTAAGCAGGTATATACAAAAGTATGAAGGCTATTGCTTAAAGCATTGTAAGCCGCCCTGAGTCTCCGGAGAAAGAGCGGCATATAAATCGACCAATAAATAAATAAATAAATAAATAAACAGTCGTAAGTGTGAAAAATGGTCTTTTTTCCCCGGGGTCTGTTCCAACTTTGAATGGTCACTAAACGGACTGCCGTAAATCCAGGTCAACCTGTACATAACCGCGGATGCCTCTTCTACCTACCAGTCTCTGGCATTGCCCTCTGATAATGACAGGTCAAATATCACATGATAAATAATAATTATTGTCTCCTCTGCAGCCGTTCCTGTTTTGTTTCACATATTTTATGCACCACTTTCTAGCCAGGAGCTGCATTTAAGAAATAGATCCCAAGGAAAAAAAACAATGTTTTTGCAGGTCTGCAGTTGTAAAAAAAAAACCCGCTTATTCAACTATTTCACTTTCATTATTAACAGTGGCTTATGATCTTTAGAATTCATACAAAGGTGGAGCTTAGAAGAGAGTTTTGTTCACATTTATAATGACCATTTGAAGTCACAACTGGCTTTAAAAAAGCTACTTATGACCCATCCTCAAACTTACAGCTGCCAATCCTCCCTCATGCCTTGAGGTTTTGTCTGCCACACACGGGCAAAACACACAGTTCACACAGTAACGTGATTCCCTTTGGGGCACTGGGCAACCGTTTCACGTTTACGACCCGGATTGGGGTGTCCTGCAGTCACACCACTGCGATTTCAGAGGGAAGGATTTGTTTGAACGAGCATGGTACCTTGTCTTTATGACCATCGTCGTAAAATCGAGTCCAGTCAAATGGCGTCTGGATATACAACCTACAACCGTTAACGTCTTACAACCAAAATTCCAGGCTTTGTTGTGGCCGTATGTTGAGGCAAAAATAAGTCTCTACCACTTGATACGCAAGTGATTTACACGAACGAAATAACACAAGGAATAGCTCTGGATAAGCCCATCCGGTGGTGCTAAAGGCGATTTTTAAAAGGAAACAGAGACGGAATTGTTTAATTTTGGTTTGGCCTGTATGATGAACTCGGTCCCTGTGGTTTGCAAAAATTAACTCCATGGCTTAAAGCGATGTGTCAACACCGCCAGTGCTAAGCAGAGGAGCAAATTAAGACCCACAAGAAGCTGACTTTCAAAGATGGGATGGTGTTTATTTGGTCACAACAAACCTCTTAAGGCGTCCTGTGGCACCTTAAATGAACTTTGTAGCTCATCCTTTCCTATAACCAGAGTGCCAGGAGGACCAAACATGTTAAATCCTCTAAAAACCTCTAATAACAGAGTATTAAATAACCATTCGCTTCATACTCGAGGGGGGTTTTCCTCTGAAAAAGCCACATTAAGGGTAGCCCTTAACGTGAGGGGCAAGCCAAGGGAAAGAGAGGAAATGTTGACATTGAAATGCAAGGTATTTAATAGAAGCCACACTGGATTTCCACAATCTGGTTTTCTGCATCTCAGGACAAATGCAAATAATGTCGAATAATTCCTGATTTTTGCAAAAAAAAAATAAAAAACAAAAAACACAAAAAAGAGCAGAAGAGCTTGAACAATGTATAAAAGAGGGTTTGGAATGATTAAAAATTTATAATGGAGGAAGAGGAATTTCCTGGGTGGGGTAAGGTAGAAATAGCAACGCATAGCAAAGAAAATGTGAGTCCAGAATACAGAATAGCAGAGTTGGAAGGGATCTTGGAGGTCTTCTAGTCCAACCCCCTGCTCAGGCAGGAGACCCTAAACCCTTCTGGTATACCAGTCCAAGGGAAGGGATACGTGAAAAATGGCTTAGCTAAATGGGGAAGGGGCTTTGCGACGTTCCCACCTTATATATTAGACCAGGGGTCTCCAAACTTGGCAACTTTAAGACTTGTGGACTTCAAGTCCCAGAATTCCTCTAGCCAGCCATGATTCACCGTTGTTAAGTGAATCTGGCTTCCCCATTGGTGGCAAAAGGGGATCATGATCCCGGGGATGTTTGCGACGGTCGTAAGTGTGACAAAACGGTCGTAAGTCTCTTTTCTCAGGGGCCTTGTGACTTTGAACAGTCACTAAACAAACTGTTGTAAGTCGAGGACTACCTGAGTAACGTTCATAAACCAGCATGAGAAGGGAAGGCGACAAATCATTAGTGATTTTAAAAGCTAACAAATATAAAATACCCAAGGTTAAAAAAACATTTTTAAAAGCTGAAAAAAGATATAAAAACAATCTTTAAAAATATAAAACACCTCCTGTGCTTTCTTGCTAATATTTCTGTCACTTTTGCCATCAGTGAAAAGGACCCAAATATTCCAGTTGTTTTGAGTAATAAATTGCTTACAGCCAACTTGTAAACAACTTATTGAGTTGGACTATTAAATCCATAAGGCTGGGTCAGCCGGGAATGATGGTTTTTTTCCCTTTTTTAAAAAAAAATAAGTCTAATGTATCCCTTTTTTTGGGAGGGAAAGGATAAGGGAGAGAAAATTGGCCTTGCTGTGGATGATGGGGCTCCAATCCCACTCATCTTGGGGAGGGGGGGGGAGTTTGCCCAGCTGGGGATGATGGGGTTATAACTCCACAAATTGAGAACCAAAAAAAGATTAGGTTTTCATTATTAACTTAAATATATTGGCCACCCAACTCCAACAGAGAAGGGGGTGCGGTGGTGGATGATGGGGATGCGACTCCCCTCTCCCAGCAGGGACTTCCCTGAAGGGGGGAAAGGAATTGGCTCTGCTGTGGATAATAGGTCCGCAACCCTATTCTCCCAACAGGAGGTAAAAACTCCTGGGGGGGGGGCAGGGGGAAATTGGCTCTGCTGTGGATGATGGGTCCGCAATCCCATTCTCCCAACAGAGAGTAAAAATTCCTGGGGAGGGGGGAGAGGAATTGGCTCTGCTGTGGATGATGGGGCTGCGACTCCCCCTCTCCCAGCAAGGACTTCCCTGGAGGGGGGAAGGAATTGGCTCTGCTGTGGAAGATGGGTCCACAACCCCATTCTCCCAATGGGGTAAAACACCCCCCCCTTTTCCTTGCCTGCCGTGGAACATGGACCACAATTCCACCATTCAGAAACAGAAACAACACCCCCCCTGTTGTGGACGATGGGTCTCACAACCCCACCTCCTCCCAGGAGTTACAAAGCCACCCTCCCTAACAAACACCCAGCTGGGGATGATGGGAAAGGCAACCCCCCCTTCCTTCCTTCCTTAGGAACTCCCCCCCCTTAGACTCTGCTGTGGATGATGGGGCCACAACCCCTTTCTCCCAACAAAGAGAGTAAAAAAACTCCCGGGGGGAGGGGGGAAGGGAAGAATGGGCTCTGCTGTGGATGATGGGTCCGCAACCCCATTCTCCCAACAGGGAGTTAAAGAAAACAACAACCTTCTTGCCTGCCATGGAACATGGGCCACAATTCCACCATTCAGAAACCCCCAACTATTGGGGGGACAACGACATTCCCCCTGCTGTGGACGATGGGTCTTGCAATCCCCCCTCCCAGGAAAGTTACAAAGCCACCCTCCCCAACAAAACACCTGGCTGGGGATGATGGGAAAGGGGACCCCACCCCCTTTCCTTCCTTAGGAACCCCTCCCCTTACTCTGCTGTGGATGATGGGTCCGCAACCCCATTCTCCCAACAGAAAGAGTAAAAAAAAACCACAGCCCCTCTCCTTGCCTGCTGTGGAACATGGGCCACAATTCCACCATTCAAAAGCCCCCAATTTATTGGGGGACGGGGGACGACGACACTCCCCCTGCTGTGGACGATGGGTCCCGCAACCCCCCCTCTTCCCAGCATAGAGTTACAAAGCCACCCTCCCCAACAAAACACCCGGCTGGGGATGATGGGAAAGGCGACCCCACCCCCTTTCCTTCCTTCCTTCCTTCCTTAGGAACCCGCAAGCCCTCAAAACTCTTCCCTCTCGGGGGCGGGGGTGGAAAAAAAAGCGGCTGATGGGTCTTGTAGTCCTCCCCCTCAGGACACACACACAATCCCGGGCGGGTAGGGGGGCCGATGGGACTTGTAGTCCGGGGTTGTCAACGAGCCAGGCCGGTTGGGCTTTCCTTCCCGGCTTTGGCTGAGGGAAGCTGAGGTAAAAAGAGCCCCTTTCCTTCCCTTCTTTCCCTCACGGAGGCGGACGACACTCACTATTCGGGGTTCATGGCGGCGGCGGCGGCTCCTCCGCGGCGGGCGGGCGGGCAGGAGGCTCTGCTGTCGGCTTCTCCTTCCTTCCTTTTTTTTCCCCCCCCCTTTTTCTTTCCTTCCTTCCTTCCTTCCTTCCTCCGGCCTCCTTCGGGGCTTCCTGCCTGGCGCCTCCGGTCGCTCCTCGCACAAGATGGCCGCCGCCGCTCCCCCCGCCCTCACCCCGCAGGGGCGACTTTATCAACGCGCACGCGCGGCCCCGCGCGCGGGGCACGCCGGGAGGCGTAGTCTCCTTGATTTTTTTTTTTTTTTTAACTCAAGTCAGATACCGGCTCTCTTTTTTCTCTCTCTCTCTCTCTCTCACTCAATCAATCCCGGCCGCGGGGCCTGTCGGGAAATGGGAGATTCCGGCTTCCTGGTTTTGATGTCATCCTTCGCCTCGCCCCGCCCCCGCGGTGTTGTTTTTTTCGGCGTCATGGCCGCTGCCCCAGAGGCACTCTGGGAAATTGAGTTCTGGCCGCGTTAACCTCAGGGCTGTCATTTTATATATATATATATGATTTCCCGTTGAAAGAATATCTAATTAAGTGGGTTGCTTAATAACTAATCAAATACACAATTTAATGATGCTCTTATCATGGCCCCCTATATATATATAAATTAATCAAATACACAATTTAATGATGCACTTATCATGGCCCCCTATATATATATTATTTTACATCTATCTATCTATCTATCTATCTATCTATCTATCTATCTATCTATCTATCTATCTATCTATCTAGGGGGCCATGATAAGAGCATCATTAAATTATGTATTTGATTAGTTACCCACTATGCTCTTATCATGGCCCCCTCTATATATATAAATATAGATATAAAATAATATATATGTAGGGGGCCATGATAAGAGCATCATTAAATGATGTATTTGATTAGTTATTAAACAACCCACTATGCTCTTATCATGGCCCCCTACATATATATTATTTTATATATATTTATATATATATAGAGGGGGCCATGATAAGAGCATTGGGGTTGTTTAATAACTAATCAAATACATCATTTAATGATGCTCTTATCATGGCCCCCTACATATATATTATTTTATATCTTAATTTATATATATATAGGGGGCCATGATAAGAGCATCATTAAATTATGTATAATTTATAAAATATAAAAATATATATTATTTTATATATATATAAAATATATATATAAAAAAATATATATATAGGCCATGATAAGAGCATCATTATGTATTTGATTAGTTATTAAACAACCCACTTAATTAGATACTATTTCAACGGGATCTGATCATGTGACCATTTTTTACATGTTTATACATGTTTATGTATAAGTTTATACATGTGAAATATTTAAACCATTAGATCTTATTTCAGAGCCTAAATTATTTTTAATATCTCGCATCCACAAACTGGGTCTAGCCACGCCTATATCATTTTGCACATACAAACTTACACGTAATATTTATTTGTGGTATTTATGAGACGGTGTTATAAAATATGTGGCGCTGTTTCTCTATTTATCTAAATTGCAGTCCTCAACTTACAACCGTTTGTTTAGTGACCCGAAGGCGCTGAAAAAAAGTGACTTGCGACTGTTTTTTCACACTTACAACCATTTCCAGCATCCCCAGGGTCACGTCATGCAAATTCGGATGCTTCAAAGCTGACTCATTTTTATGACGGTTGCAGCATCCGGGGTCATATGGCCACCTTTTAATTCACAATAATATGGGTGTGTTCATAAGGGTGTGTGTGTATATATACATCTAAAAAAACACAACCACAAATTTAAATACTGGATTGGCTTCCTGCACGGAAGACGAGAGCCGAGAGATTATTCACAGTCAGCTCCCTAAGATTCATACGACTTTGATTTTCTAATTTGCAAGGCCTCCAATTGGACGTGTTTAAATGGAAGGAAATTAAAAATAAATAAATAAAGGATGGGAAAGAAAAATATATATATAGATTTTATATATATAAAAATGACCAAACCAGAGAATATTCCTCTTGTTTTATTTCTAGAGCAACATAATTAAATACAAAGCACAATTCTCTTCCTTTCGTTTCAACACCGTTCTACTCCCAACGTAAGCGTTTAACCTCTTCTCCGCACACAGACACCCCCCCGCCCCGTGTGCCCGCAAACACGCAAAAACACGCACGCAAGATTATTAGGTGATATAAATTACCGGGGCCCTGCCCGTTTTGAAATCCTGGGAAGTGGGGGGAAAAAAGTAAAAATAAACTGAAAAATGACTGTACTGTCCTCCTTACGGGCTTTGCAATTAAGAGCGAGGGGCTTAGGTTGGGTGGGCTTCCTTCCCGCTTTTTGCTTTTGCCAAATAGCATTTTTTGAGCCACAAAGCAAAAATTTGAAATGGGAGGCAGGCTCCCTCCGTTTGCAATAGTCCCCCCCCAAAAAAGGGGGGGTTCTCTCCCCTCCATCAGCCCCCCTCCACCCACACCCCCAAGGACACATTAGGAACAGAGAAATGGCATTTTAATATAAATACGCCGTTTTGGAAGGTGTTCTCCGTCCGTAACAACCAGCAGAACGAAGAGAAAAAGCATTTGCAGTGAGAGGAGGCCAGAATACGGAGAGAAGAAATTGGATCGTTCTACAGTGTTCTACCCCTTTTTGGCTTAAATCCTTAGCTATTGATGATGATGATTTTTTTACTGAATGGACGTGCAAGCAACGCGGGTGGAGACGGGAAAGTTGTTGTTTTATCTTGCTAAGAAGGGGGTGCAAAGCATCGCGGCTGGGAAGACTGTCAAGAGAAACAGGCTGAGATTGGCGGGCATCGGAGGCGGTGGTCTTAGGGCAGTGATGGCGAACCCTTTTCGGCACGCGGAAACATCGCGCGCGTCCGCTCGTCGGGGCCGCGCTCCGGAAAAAGCCAAACTTCCGGCTTCTGGCACACATGCGCACCCAACAATCAGCTGGATGGCGCCGTGTGCAGACTGATTTTTGGCACTGCCACTCGCGCGAAGGACAGCTGATAGTGGCGCGCCGGAAACCCGGAAGATGAACAGGCAAGGCCGCGCGTGATGGGCGACATGGCTTCGTGTGCCACTTTGGGCACGCGTGCCGTAAGGTTCGCCATCACGGTCTTAGGGTGAAGGGGTGGTATCCCTCTACGCATCGCTCCCGAGCAGGGAAGGAAAGTGGCGAGGGGCATCTACCATCCCCCTTTAAATGAGAACCAGTGGGAATTTGATTAATAAACGAGATGCTTCCTGCAGCCAAATCTGGAGGGGAGACAACAGAAAAAAACGAGATCGGAATGTTTACACGGACACAGCAGGGTGTTATCCCGTCGGTAAGCGAGCCCCTGAATTAAAGAGGCCGCCGGAGCGATATATATATCGTAATCCAGGCAAATCCCAAAAAATAAAAGTAAAAATAAATAAATCCAGTGCAGATTGAGAAGAAGAGGGAAGGGATTTCGAGAGAGAAGAGGGTGGGCTGGATGGGATCTCTCTGTCCCTGAGGCCGGGCGCAACAGATCCTGAACAGAAAGGATCCACTCAATCACTAAAACGGTGGGAAGCGAGCCGTTCGAGGGTCTCTAAGCGTATTTATTCTTTCTTTGCAGAAGAACCAATTCAGGTGGGTTCAAAAAAAAACCTGGCCTAGCTAGTCGAGATCGTTTTGCACCCCGTTCTTTGCAAGAAATGGGCGCAAAAAGACGTCCACTGGAACCCTGAGAAATTATATTATTATTTTTTTCCGCACTCGATCGCTCCTTTCCCACCACATTCCCGGGAAGAGGCCTTGACAAATCATGCAGCTTTGGGGGGTCCTTCGGTCCCCCCCCCAACAAGATGCAGTTGACGGTGGGTTGTGCCAACGTATCGAGGCATCCTGCCTTAATCTGGGATTTAGAGGCGGGTGGTCGAAAGGTGGCACTTGGTAGCCAGAGCCGAGGATGAGCGCCGCGGTGGCAACATGCTGGGGGTGGGAGGGGGAAGAGGAAGACCTTGGATGTGGGGGGGGCAATGGCGTGCTTGTGGGGGTGCCCGCGAAGGGAAAAGTGAGATACCGCTCTGCCTCGGAGCTGCAATGGCGGGAGCTCTATGCCAGCAGGATGGGGAATTCGCGGAGCGGATGAGGTTCCAGGCAGAAGCTCGAAGCAGCTCTGATGTGGTCCGGATTTCCGGGCCTCCTTCCACCCCGCCCTCCAACCCAGACCGAGCCACGGGGGACATCATGCCATCAGGGACCTTCGTCGTGGCAGGTCGACGTTGCTGGCACTTAACCCTCGGCTGTCGCAGAGGTTGCCGGAGCCCTAAAGAGGGGAAAAAAGCGAAGGTTATTTAAGGGGGCAGAAATGCCAGGTTTTCATCTCCCAATTTTAGGGGGGATTTTGTCCCTCCTTCCTTTTTCTTCTCTTTCTTCTTCCTTCCTTTTCTGTCTCTTTCTCTTCTCCTCCGACCTTTCCCCTTCCTTTCTTCCTCTCCCTTCCCTCCTTGCCTCTTCTCTCCCTTCCTTCTTTCCTTCCCCTCCCTCCCTCCCTCTGTCTTTTCCTTCCTTCCTTTCCTTCCTTCCTTTCCTTCCATCCTTTTCTGTCCTTTTCTCCTCCGCCCTTTCTCCTTCCTTTCCCCCCATCTTTTTCCTTCCTTCCCTCCTCCCTCCTTTCCTGCCCCTCCCTCTTCCCTTTTCTTCACCTTCCTCTGTCTTTTCCTTCCTTCCTTCCTTCCCCTCCCTCTTCTCCTTCCTCCTTTCCTTTCCTCCCTTCCATCCCTCTTCCCCTTCCTCCCTCCGTCTTTTTCCTTCCTTCCCTGCCCTCCCTCCCTCCCTCTTCTCCTTCCTTTCCTTTCCTCCCTTCCCTCCTCCCCTTCCTCCCTCCCTCTTTTTCCTTCCTTCCTTCCTTTCCTCTCTCCCTCCCTTCCCCTTCCTCTTCTCCTTTCCTCCCTTCCTTCCTTCCCCTCCCTCTTCTCTTTCCTTCCTTTCTTTCCTCCCTTCCTTCCTTCCCCTCCCTTCCATTCCCTTCCCTCCACCCTCCCTCCTTTATGAAAACAATCCAACCACTCAACCAGATCATATAGTTATCAGAAGACACTTTTGTTAAGACGGACAGGCCACAACCTGCCATTCAACATTGTTGGGAAACGAGTCTCGCAGCTTCCCACCCGCCGTGCCAGCTTCCCCCACAGGAGCCCAATCTCAAAAGAGAAGGTTGGGGCAGCTTCCCCACAAGGTGTGTTACCTGGCTGGGATCTTCTTCTATGCTTTTGTTCAGGAAGTTGAGCGAACTGGCCCTTTTAATCCTGCAGCACGAGAGAGAAAACCCAAAACGGGTGAGATTCCCCTCCGGAAAGAGATCGGTGATCAGCATTGGAAAACCGACTCCCTCTTTTCAATTCGGATTCGATTGTTTTATTTCGGCCAGCAATATTTGCCCAATGTTTTACTAAACCACCTACACGAACCATTCACTGAAGCATGTACGTGCTCCACTTACGACCGTTCATTTAGTGACTGAAGATTTTCAGCGCTGAAAAAAGCGACTTAAAGTTTACGGCCAGACAGGTCGTAAACATGGGGACCAAAACCGCCCTTTTACAGCCGTTTTCGCGTTAGCAAAAACGGGGCTCGATTTTGGTCGCTAAGCCGAGGACTCCCTGTTACACAAATGAAGACGATCGGGACGACCCCGCAGAATCCGAGAAACAAAAACCACCTCTCGTTCTAAAAAAATGTCAAAATAAAAAATGGAAGGAGATGCAGGCCGGATAAGGGACTTCCCATTTCTCCGGATTCACCCCCCCCCAAAATTTGAAACTTACCCGGGATTCCTCGGTTCTTGGGGGCTGCTCCCTTGAAGTTTCTTAACCAGCATCTCGCTGCTCCGCCGCAAAGCGTCGCGCAGTTTCCCGAACGAGCCGCTGCGGCGCAGAGCTCCGGAGCCCACCTGGGAGAGCAAAAGACACACAGGTTGCCCCCATCTTTTAAGGAAGTTATTAAGAGCCGGCCTGCAGGAAAATGGCAGCACCGTCCTTCGATCGTGTCGAGATTACTGCTCCCATAATTCCCAGCCAGAGGGCACAGGGTTTGGGGAGTTGTAGTCCCTGGTTAAGAGGTTGAGGATACCTTCGTCTTACGGACGCCGAGGAGTTGGTATCATGGGGGCAAATGTTTTTCGTGTATCCTTCATGCTAAGTTTGTATTTCTCAACCTTCATTGCTTTAAGAGGGGTGGATTTCAACTCCCAGAATTCCCCAGCCAGCAAGCTTTGAAGATATGTGGATTTTAACTTTCAGAATTCCCCCGGCGAACTTGCTTTTAAGATGGCTGGAATTCGTTACCTAGCATGCTTTAAAATACGTCCCAGAATTCCCAAGCCAGCAAACTCTCAATTATGTAGATTTTAACTCGGAGAATTCTCCAGCGAACAAGCTTTAAGATGGGTGGAATTTAACTCCTGGAATTCCTTATCTAGCATGCTTTAAAATACGTGGACTTCGAGTCCCAGAATTCCTTAGCCAACTTGCTTTAAAAGAGCTGTGGACTTCAACTCCCAGAATTCTCCAGCCTGCAAGCTTCAAGATACGTGGATTTCAACTCGCAGAATTCCCCAATGAACATGCTTTTAAAGATGCCTGGGCTTCCAATTCCCAGAATTCCTTATCTAGCATGCTTTAAAATACATGGACTTCGAGTCCCAGAATTCCCCAGCCAGCATGGCTCTTAAAATGGCTGACGTTGAGAAACTTTTCTACTAAGCTATAATGTGATTTGAATCTTCTGGCGGTTTTAACCCAGTTTAGGGGGTTCTGGAACTCCAGGCCACAGTATTTTTAAGCAAATCTAGGTTTTTTCCGCAATGTGTGAATCCAGCAAACCCCCCACAAGACAAAATTCTGTGGATTCTACATTTGTTGAATTTTCTTCTGCTCTCTTCGTTTTTAGAAGGAAATTCTGTAGGTTAGGAAGGGTCATTGCTCTGTCTCTTTCTTTCTCTCTCCTCTCTCTCTCTTTCTTTCTCTCTCTCTCACCCCAGACCATTCGGCTACTCCTTCTTCCGATTCGTTCTCGTTCTCGGACTTCCTGGTGCCGGGAGCCCCATCGCGGTTCGGTCGCTGTTCGGCATGGTTCCCGTCCTTTAGAAGCTCCACGATTTTGCTCTGGTTGAAAGCATCCATGCCCTGGAAAATACAGAAAGAGGAGGGTAGAAATATTTAATCCGTGTCCCACGAACGCGGGGCCGACGTGTGCGTTTACACGCGACTGTAAGGGAAATCTCCATTGCAAGTGACGACGGTCGCAAATCAAGGCACCCACGGACCTGTGCCCAATTTTGCAAACTTGTGTGTGTGTGTGTGTGTGTGTGTGTGTGTGTGTGTGTGTAAGTTGTTAAGCGGATTCTGTGCAGTTGTTGTTAAGCGAATCCATTGTTTATTACGGGGCAGGTTTTGCTGGCAATCCAAAGTAGACTTCCCCCTTCCAGTAAAAAGGTCGTAAATCAGGTACCAAGCACTAAAAATGCGACATGGCTGAAGGATGCTGGAATTTCATATCTGGGACGTTAAGTTACTTTTCTGTGGTGTTCCATCGTCACTCTGGTCGTAAGTGGAGGACTATCTGCATGGGAAGTCCTCGATTTATGACCACGACTGAGCCCAAAATTTACCCTGCTCAGTGAGAAATTTGTTAAGCGAGTTTTGCCCCATTTTACGACTTTCCTTGCCACAGGCAATCACCGCAGTTGTGAAACCAGTAACGCCGTTGTTAAATTAATCTGGTTTCTCTGTTAACTTGGCTTGTCAGAAGGTCGCGAAAAGGGAACCACGCGATCCCGGGAAGCTGCAATCGTCATAAATGTGAGTCAGTTGATAAGCATCTGAATATAAATCACGTGATCACAGGGATGCTATAAGGGTCGAAGATGGGAGGCAAGCCAAAAAAAAAGCATAGCAATTAAAAGTGTTGAAGAGGGCAAGAGAGGATGGATAGATGAGTTCTCTTTTGTTGTTGTTCTGATTTGCTTTTACCTTTCTTTCTCTCTCTCTCTTTCTTTTCTTTTTAGGTAGGTAACATGATTAGAAGTTAGATTGGATAGAAAGAAAACGTCTTTTAATAAAGGGTGACATGATTAAAAGTTAGAACAAGAGATAGAAATAAGAGAAGGGGCAATATTAGTGTATTCGCTTTTATATAATAAAAGAAAAGCAATAACAAGAGAAAAGCATGGAATAATTGAACAATGACGGATTGCAACTTAATATAAACGTGTACCCTTATTAGAAACATAGAAGTGGATTGAATGTAATAAGTAGGATTAATTCTACTCGTTTAATTTGTATTAGAATGTAGGCACCACGCTGTTCACGCATTGATGTGTTTGTTAAAAAATAATAAAAAACTTTTTTTTAAAAAAAGGGTCGTAAGTGTGAAGAACGGACCTAAAAGTCCTTTTCAGTGCCATTGTTATTTCGAACTAAGCGGACCGTTGTAACTCGAGGACTACCACCAGTAGTGGGTTTCACTTACCTTCGCTACTGGTTCGGAATTGTGAGCGCGTGAGGCGCCTTCTGCGCATGTGCAGAGTTTCCGTGATGACGTCCGCGCGGGTGGGCGGAGTCTCCCGCTGCCGCGCTACTAGAAACCTACCACTAACTACCACTATTGGCGATCCAGCACAGCGTAACTCCGTTCTCAACCCATGAAAAGCACAAAAACGCTTTACCTGTTTCCGTGATTTCTGGGCGCATGCTTCCAGCGTCTCGGCCGCTTCCACTTTGCCCTGGCGACGATACAGAGAGCCCAAACTTTTTAGGGTGGCGTTGACGGTCAGGCTGGGGGGAAGAGAAGCAATGCAGTGGTGGGTTCTAATCAGTTTTACCACCGGTTCGCATCGAGCACGCTAGAAGACCTCCGAGATCCCTCCTAACTCTGGTATTCTGTTATTCTAACTCCAGAAGGCGGACAAGAGAGCAGTGGGTGGAAACTAATCAAGAAGAGAAGCAACTTAGAACTAAGGGGAAATTTCCTGACGGTGAGAACAATTAAGCAGCGGAACTACTTGCCACCAGAAGTTGCGAATGCTCCCACACTGGAGGTTTTTAAGAAGAGGTTGGATAACCACTTGTCTGAAGTGGTGTAGGGTTTCCTGCCTAAGCAGCGGGTTGGACTAGAAGACCTCCAAGGTCCCTTCCAACTCGGTTATTCTATTCTAACATGTCCGAAAACACTCTTTGTCTCTTCTTCTTTTTATCTTTAATGTCGATCTATCCGTTTCTGCACAATCCAAGGTTCTAACTGTCCAACCCAGTGGTGAAATCCAATTTTTTTTTAATTGCCGGTTCTGTGGGCGTGGCTTGGTGGGCGTGGTGTGGTGTGGCTTGGTGGGCGTGGCGGGGAAGGATACTTGCAAAATCCCCATTCCCTCTCCACTCCTGGGGGAAGGATATTGCAAAATCCCCATTCCCTCCGCACTCTGGATGGAAGGATAATGCAAAATCCCCATTCTCTCCCCACTCTGGATGGAAGGATAATGCAAAATCCCCATTCCCTCCCCACTCCTGGGGGAAGGTTACTGCAAAATCCCCATTCCCTCCCCACTCCTGGGGGAAGGATATTGCAAAATCCCCATTCCTACCCCACTCTGGGGCCAGTCAGAGGTGGTAATTTGCCGGTTCTCCGAACTACTCAAAATTTCCGCTACCGGTTCTCCAGAACCTGTCAGAACCTGCTGGATTTCACCCCTGGTCCAACTTCTTCTTGAAAAGCCAATTCTGTTGATTAAATGATCCGTTTCCCCCATCACACTCACCTGTCTACCTTACAGGCTTTATACCAGCTGCCGTATTCTCTGTAAGGGGCACTGTTTTCTCGGTATTTATCCTGAAGGGGGGAAAACAAGATTTAAAAAAAAAAAAAAAGATTAAAGGGAAGGAATCATGATCATTTGGATACCGTCCCCAAATCCCGGGTAAAACAAGCTGCCCTTTGAACTCTCGTACCAAACCCCCCCAAATACCTTACATTCTTCTCGCTCCTCGGCGTGCATCCATATGGGCTTATTGTCACCTGCGGAGAAGCGGAGAAATGGCTTAGAAAATTTGAGGCACCGGCATCGCGAGAGGTGCAACCGTCATAAATACAGGCCAGCTGCCCAAGTGTTTTTGAATTTTAATAATGTGAGTGGGGAATGTTACGACGGTCGTAAGAGCGAGGACCGGTCGTAAGTCACCTTTTTCAGTGCCATTCTAACTTGAACGAGGGTTACTATGAAGAATGTTTGAACAATATGGCGATTGGCATAAAAATAACATACTGAAATACTGAATGATTTAAATAATGGAAGATTATAATTTAACATAAACATGTGTGTTACTACCGTGTTTCCCCGAAAATAAGACCCTGCCTTATATTTTTTTTGAACCCTGAAATAAGCACGTGGCCTTATTGCCATGCGCTCAAAAGCCCGATTGGGCTTATTATCAGGGGAATGTCTTATTTTGGGGAAAACAGGGTATCTATCTATCATCTATCTATCTATCTATCTATCTATCTATCTATCTATCTATATCTCTCTCTCTCTCTCTCTCTATCATCTATCTATCTATCTATCTATCTATCTATCTATCTATCTATCTCTCTCTATCATCTATCTATCTATCTATCTATCTCTCTATCTCTCTCTATCTCTATCTATCTATCTATCTATCTATCTATTATCTATCTATCTCTCTCTCTATCTATCTCTATCTATCTATCTCTATCATCTATCTATCTATCTATCTATCTATCTATCTATCTATCTATCTATCTTCTATCTATCTATCTATCTATCTATCTATCTATCTATCTATCTATCTATCTCTATCTATCATCTATCTATCTATCTATCTATCTCTATCTATCATCTATCTATCTATCTATCTAGAACCATATTAGTCTGTTAAATGTAACAAATACGATTATTAATATTTTATTTGTAGTAAAAGCAACGACACTCAGAATATGGTGATTGACATAAAAACAACGTATTTGAAATATTGAATAACTACATAACGAAAGATTATAATTTAATTAAAAAAAATGTGTACTATTACCAGAATTGTATAAGCTTGTCAACTGTAGTAAATATCCTGAATATTGTTTTATTTGTATTAAAATGTAAGACGCTCAGGTGCCACGCTGTTTTACAAACATTGATATGTTTGTAAAAAAAAAAAAAAACCCACACAACTTGAGGAGAAAAAAAATAACTTTGGTCACTAAACGAATGGTTGTAAGATGAGGCCTATCTATAACGCTAAACCAGAGGTCTTCAAACTTGGCAGGATTTAAGACTTGTGGACTTCAACTCCCAGAATTCTCCAGCCAGCTATGCTTACGCTGGCTGGAGAATTCTGGGAGTTGAAGTCCACAAGTCTTCAAGCTGCCAAGTTTGAAGACCTCTGCGCTAAACCATAATTCCTGGTTTTACGGCTCCCACCGGCCAGCTTCGCACGCGACGCCGAGCCGAAGTGGCTGTAACTTGGCCGAAGTGGCTGTAACTTGGTCTGTTTGTGTGAACCCGGGATGGGAAGCCGAATGAGGCCGTGTACCCACAATCTGGCTGAAATTCGGGTTGTGCAACATTCCCTTTGAGCTGAGCTCATCAAAGGATCCGGATTGGCTCACCAGGGATAAGCACACTTAAGACAGGAAAATGACGAAGCGAAAGAGAGCATGTAGGACACGGTTTAGGTGAGTCATCCTAGCCGGAAAGGAGGAATATTCGGCCCAGCCCAGGAGATGTCAGAGTTCATGCATCAGATGTTCCCAACCCAGGTCTGCCCAACTCCCGAGTTGGAGAGACGCACAATTGTGTTGCTTTGGAAAGCAAGTTCCCCTTGTAGGAGGGGGTGGAGAGAAGTCGGAGAGAGAGAGAATGAGAGAGAGAGAGAAAGAGAAAAAGAAAGAGGAGAGAGAGAAATAGAGAGAAAAACTGAGAAAGGGAGAAATAGAGAGAGAAATAGAGAAAAAGAAGAAAGAGAGAGAGAAATAGAAAGAAAGAAAGAAAGAGAAATAGAAAAAGAAAGAGAGAAAGAAGAGAGAAAGAGTAAGAGAGAAAGGGAGAAAGAGAAAGAGAAAAAGAGGAGAGAAATAGAGAAAAACTGAAAGAGAGAGAGAGAAACTGAGAAAGGGAGAAATAGAGAAAAAGAAAGAGAGAGAGAGAAATAGAAAAGAAATAGAGAAAGAAGAGAGAAAGAGTAAGAGAGAAAGGGAGAAAGAGAAAGAGAAAGAGAGAGAAAGAGAGAGAAAAAGAGGAGAGCAATAGAGAAAAACTGAAAGGGAGAAATAGAGAAAAAGAAAGAGAGAGAGAGAAATAGAAAGAAAGAAATAGAAAAGAAATAGAGAAAGAAGAGAGAAAGAGTAAGAGAGAAAGGGAGAAAGAGAAAAAGAGAGAAAGAGAGAGAAAAAGAGGAGAGAAATAGAGAAAAACTGAAAGGGAGAAATAGAGAAAAAGAAAGAGAGAGAAAGAAATAGAAAGAAAAAAAAAGAGAAAAAGAAAGAGAACACATCTACTATTACTTCCACCTCCTATTTTCCTTGGAACAACAACCCTGTGATGTGTGTAGGGCTGAGAAGATGGTCCAAAATCACCCAGCCGGCTTTCATGTCTAAGATGGAACTAGAATTCACCATCTCCTAGTGTTTAGCCCAAAACCACCCAGCCGGCTTTTGTGTCTAAGGTGGAACTAGAATTCACCATCTCCTGGTGTTTAGCCCAAAACCACCCAGCCGGCTTTTGTGTCTAGGTGGAACTAGAATTCACCGTCTCCTGGTGTTTAGCCCAAAACCACCCAGCCGCTTTTGTGTCTAAGGTGGAACTAGAATTCACCATCTCCTGGTGATTGGCCCAAATCACCCAGCCAGCTTTCATGTCTAAGGTGGAACTAGAATTCACCATCTCCTGGTGTTTAGCCCAAAACCACCCAGCTGGCTTTTGTGTCTAAGGTGGAACTAGAATTCACCTTCTCCTGGTGTTTAGCCCAAAACCACCCAGCCGGCTTTTGTGTCTAAGGTGGAACTAGAATTCACCATCTCCTGGTGATTGGTCCAAAGTCACCCACCCGGCTTTCGTGTCTAAGGTGGAACTAGAATTCCCTGTCTCCTGGTGATTGGCCCAAAATCACCCCGCTAGCTTTCATATCTCAGGGCAGGACTAGAACTCACCATCACCTAGTTCTAGGATGGTGCCTTAACCACTAGACCAAACTGTCTCCCCAGAGTTAGCCATGGAACGAGCCTCTTCGCATCACCTTAGCCGTTTTCCCAGTCTTCTTCGCAGAAGTCCTCAGCCGAAGGCCCTGCCATCTGTGCGAAAGTTTGCCGCCCTCCCAACCAATGAAAATACTTTTTCCCACGCTCACCGTTGACCGATCCGAATTCCCTCTCGTGCGCCTGGGTCAGGATCTCCTTGTAGAGCGTCTCGGCTTCCTTGTATTTACCTTGCTTGATGTAAGAAGAGGCCTGCGAGGATGATGATAAAAATCCAGAGGTCGTTAATATTAATAAAGAGAATGGTTATGTTGGGATTAAGAGTTAAAATAAATGTGATTATGTTGAGATAAGCAGTAAATTGCAGATGATAAATACTAACAGTTAAATTGCTATGTAAATACTTATAGTAATCGATGATTTATACTTTTCAGATGTATTCATCCAAACTAAACGGAAGTGAAACCGAAATAATATTGTGTTAAAGATGTTAAAATTTAGGTAACGGGTTTTATGGTATTTTTTTTTTTTATTGAAAAAGTTTTACAGTTACATTTTCTCCCCAGTTTCCCCCCCCCAACCCTCCCTACCCCCCCAACTCTCCCCCCCCGGACTTCCACAAATATAAATATAAATATAAATCGAACTAATAAATAAATAAATAAACAAACATCATCAGTGCTAGTCTGGCTAGCAATGATGATATAACCTAATTAGGCTCATGAAATGCCTGCAAGAAAACTAGCAAGCTCAGAGAGCACAAATGTGACCTCTCATTTCAATCCTGGGCTACAAATATTCTCCTTTAAAGGAACGGGGTGCGTCCGCTCTCGTTTGCTTACCCAACTGGGTAACATCAACAGTGTCAGGGAGTGTGGGTTTTGCTGCCAGTCGATACGCAACAGCTTGCCCTGTCAAATGTTGGCGGGGTGTAATTTTTTCTCCCGGCAAGTTCAAGTGATTCAAGTGATTGCTTTTCGCTTGACGGTTTGTCTGGGGTTCATCCCTGCTTATCTGGCTGCGGGTCGCTGGGGAAGATGCGCTCCTGTTCTTAATTGTTTCCTTCTTAAACTCTTCTTCCCCTTTCTTGGGCTGCTCGGAGTCTCTCTCAAAGAAGCCCCAACTCACCAGGTTGTTCTTCGTCTTGGCTACGTTTGGATTGTCGGGGCCCAGGCGCGATTCGTAGATCTCCAGGGCCCGCTGGTAATAGTACTGGACTTCCTCGTACTTTCCCTGGTTTTGGCAAAGGAGCGCCAGATTGTTCAGCTGCTTGGCTACGTCGGGATGGTACTTTCCGAGCACCTGGAAGGAGAGAAAGAGAGTTTCATATTTTTTTTAAAAAATATAATTTTATTTATAATTTTTTTAACATCCAAAAGTGCTTGGTAACAGTGTATTGTCTGGGTCAATATCCTATCCTATTCTAAGTGTTGTAACTTTTTATTCTCAATGAATGTATTTTATTCTCTTTATGTACACTGAGAGCATATGCACCAAAGACAAATTCCTTGTGTGTCCAATCACACATGGCCAATAAAGAATTGTATTGTATTGTATTGTATTGTATTGTATTGTATTGTATTGTATTGTATTCTATTCTATTCTATTCTATTCTATTCTATTCTAAAATTCTATTCTATTCTATTCTATTCTATTCTATTCTATTCATTCTATTCTATTCTATTCTATAATTCTATTCTATTTTTCCATTCCATTCATTCCATTCCATTCCATTCCATAATTCTATTCTATTCTATTCTATTCTATTCTATTCTATTCTATTCTATTCTATTCTATTCTATTTTTCCATTCTAATTCCTATTCTATTCTATTCTATTCTATTCTATTCTATTCTATTCTATTCTATTCTATTCTATTCTATTCTATTCTAATTTTCCATTCCTAATTCCTATTCTATTCTATTCTATTCTATTCTATTCTATTCTATTCTATTCTATTCTATTCTATTCTATTCTAAAATTCTATTCCATTCCATTCCATTCCATTCCATTCCATAATTCTATTCTTCTATTCTATTCTATTCTATTCTATTCTATTCTATTCTATTTCTATTCTTCTATTCTATTCTATTCTATTCTATTCTATTCTATTCTATTCTATTCTATTCTTTGGTATCTTGTAAGGCACTCAGACATTTTACAGACCCCCTAAGCCTGTCCCTTCGACCCAGTCACCAGAGTGGCTTTGACAGTAAAACGGGAGGCGTGCATATTTAAGAAATGAACAAATACCTTTTCGCGAATTTCCAGGGCCCTCTTGCACAAAGGTTCGGCTTCTTTATATTTTCCTCGTTTCCCGTACAACACGGCCAGGTTGTTAAGTGTGGCAGCCACCTGAGTGTGAAAAAGAAAAAGGGGAAAATAATAATAATAATAATAATTACAACAGGCGAAAATAATAACAACAACAACAACCATCCTGAAGGGATATGGGTTACCTTCCATGAACCTGCTTCTAAAAGAAAAGAGACGTGGGAAATTGAGCGGATCGGAATGCTAAACCCAACTTTAGCTGAAGCTTCCAAATCAGAAAACAGGAGGCTCGATTCTTCAAACACGTCTAGAATTTTAAAATATTTTAAAATTCCAGACGTGGGAACTGTGCCCTGTCCGAAATGCGGAAGTTATACTTTGACGTGTAACCTATGCTCGATCGGGCGCCTTATTCGTGGCCGCCATCTTCTCTCGGTCTGTTGATTGGGTTTGTCCCCTCTTCTATAAAATCCAAGACAGACTTACTTGGTTGGGCTAGAAAAAGGGTACTTTCAAAGTTTTTAACGGCACGTCAGAATATACTTGTCTGTGTGGTAGCCGTTCGGTTATCTCAGATTTGTCGGCTAGCCACGCTGTTTATTGCTTAAATTGGGTGGGTGGGTGGGTGGATGGAAGGAATGCAGGCAGCCAGGCAGGAGAAGGAAGGGGAGAGAAATGGAGGAAGGAAGGGAAGGGAAGGGAGGGAGGGAGGGAGGGAGGAAGGAAGGAAGGGGATAACGAAGGGGAGAGAAAAGGGAGGGAGGGAGAGGATAATGAAGGGGAGAGAAATGGAAGGAAGGAAAGAAGGAAGGAAGGAGGGAAGAGGATAATGAAGGGGAGGGAAAAGGAAGGAAGGAAGCAAGGAATGAAGGAAGGGGATAACGAATGGGAAAGAAATGGAAGGAAGGAGGGGGAGGGAGGGAAGAGGATAACGAAGGGGAGAGAAACAGAAGGAAGGAAAGAAGGAAGGGAGAGGATAATGAAGGGGAGAGAAAAGGAAGGAAGGAAGAAAGGAAGGAGAGGATAATGAAGGGGAGAGAAAAGGCAGGGAGGCAGGCAGGCAGGAGAATGAAGGGGGAGAAATGGAAGAAAAGAAAGAAGGGAGGTTGTGGGGAAGAAGGAAGGAAGGGAGAGGATAACGAAGTGGAGAGAAATGGAAGGAAGGAAGGAAAAGAAGGAAGGAAGGAAGGAGAGGATAATGAAGGGGAGAGAAAAGGCAGGCAAGCAGGCAGGAGTGAAGGGGAGAGAAATGGAAGAAAAGAAAGAAGGGAGGGAGGGGGGAGGAAGGAAGGAAGGGAGAGGATAATGAAGGGGAGAGAAATGGAAGGAAGGAAGGAAGGAAAGAAAGAAAGAGAAAGATAGAAAAAGAAAGGAAGGAAGGACGGAAGGAAAGAAGGAAGGAAGGAAGGAAGGAAGGAAGGAAGGAAGGAAGGAAGGAAGGAAGATGGCAAAAAGAAGAGAAGGGGAAGGGAAAGGAAAGGAATGGAATTGAATTTATAAGATAAATAACTGGAAGATCATACGGTCTTTAAATCCTCCAATCAGAGCTGAGAGGGAGGGCCCCATCCTGCACTTACAGCCGGATGGTCTTTTCCCAGGGTCTTTTCCCGGATAGCCAAAGCATCGTTGAGTAGGTGGGCGGCTTCCTTGTATTTATTTTGGTCTCTGGTGGGTGGGGGGGGAAGGAAAACACAAGATTAGTTTCTCAGATTCACGTCACTGTAGAAGGGAAGCACGGGCCGGCTGGGAGATTCCAGGGGGAAGCTGAAGCCCACAAGTGTTAAAAGTTGCCGTGTTTGGAGACCCCTGGGTTAAAAGGGGGCCCTTTTGTGTGTCACACACCCTCCCCACCGCAACACCCCCGTGGAATGCCACACCTGTACACCAGAGCGAGAATATTCAGCATTGTTGCCACATCGGGGTGATCGTGGCCCGAGGTTTTCTCCAGATCCTCCAGAGCCTGCTTGCAGAGCGGGACGGCCACTTCGTAGCGCCCCTGGGAAGCGTACTGGATCACCAGATTGTGCAAGGTCCGTAGACGGGCCGGGATCTCGTAGCCGCCTTGCTGGGCTGCCGACTCTCCGCTGTGGTGAGTTGGTCCTGCGGAGGCAGAGCCCATCAATCAGCTGGAAAAGAGCTCATAAGCGTAGAATATAGAACATCGAAGTTGGAAGGGACCTTGGAGGTCTTCTAGTCCAACCCCCTGCTTAGGCAGGAAACCCTACACCACTTCAGGCAAATGGTTATCCAACATCTTCTTAAAAACTTCCAGTGTTGGAGCATTCACGACTTCTGGTGGCAAGTTGTTCCACTGATTCATTGTCCTAACTGTCAGGAAATTTCTCCTTAGTTCTAAGTTGCTTCTCTCCTTGGTTAGTTTCCACCCATTGCTTCTTCTCCTGCCTTCAGGGGCTTTGGAGAATAGCTTGACTCCCTCTTCTTTGGGGCAGCCCCTGAGATATTGGAAGACTGCTAGCACATCGTAGAGTAGAGTAGAGTAGAGTAGGGTAGGGTAGGGTAGGGTAGAGTAGAGTAGAGTAGAGTAGAGTAGGGTAGGGTAGGGTAGAGTAGAGTAGGGTAGGGTAGGGTAGGGTGGGGTAGGGTAGGGTAGAGTAGGGTAGGGTAGAGTAAAGTAGAGTAGAGTAGGGTAGGGTAGAGTAGAGTAGAGTAGAGTAGGGTAGGGTAGGGTAGGGTAGGATAGGGTAGGGTAGGGTAGAGTAGAGTAGAGTAGGGTAGGGTAGGGTAGGGTAGAGTTGAAGAGAAGAGAAGAGAAGAGAAGAGAAGAGAAGAGAAGAGAAGAGACCTTGGAGGTCTTCTAGTCCAACCCCCTGCTTAGGCAGGAAACCCTACACCACTTCAGACACATAATTATCCAACCTCTTCTTAAAAACTTCCAGTGTTGGAGCATTCGCAACTTCTGGAGGCAGGCAGTTCCACTAGTTAATTGTTCTAACTGTCAGGAAGTTTCTCCTTAGTTCTAAGTTGCTTCTCTCCTTGATTATTTATTTATTTATTTATTAAATTTATATGCCGCCCCTCTCCGGAGACTCCACCCGTTGCTTCTTGTCCTGCCTTCTGGTGCTTTGGAGAAGAGCTGGACTCCCTCTTCTTTGGGGCAGCCCCTGAGATATCGGAAGACTGCTATCATGTCTCCCCTGGTCCTTCTTTTCATGAAACTAGACATAATTCAGAATAACTTCAAGAATAATTCTAATAGAATAATTCTGAAGCTTACCTTGGCCCTGGTCATCATCGTTAGGAAATAGATCGTCCAAGGTATCTTTGGCCGCCTCGCCGTTTTTCTCATCCTGGGCAAAAGAGAAGGAAATAAATAGCTCTGGTGGCTCAGCAGACCAATTAACATCCACTTACATCTGCTGCCTGCAATTACTGCAAGTTCGAATCTCGCCAGGCTCAAGGTCGACTCAGCCTTCCATCCTTTCTAAGGTAGGTAAAATGAGGACCCGGATTGTGGGGGCAACAAGCTGACTTTGTATAAATATACAAAAAAGGATGAAGGCTATTGCTGAGCACATTGTAAGCCGCCCTGAGTCTCCGGAGAAGGGCGGCATATAAATCAAATTAAAAAATAAATAAATAAATAAATAAATAAATAAATTTTAAAAAGTGGCATTCCTTTTCACAGGAGGATTTTGCAGTATCCTTCCCCCAGGAGTGGGGTGGGAATGGAGATTTTGCAATATCCTTTCCCAAGGAGTGGGGAGGGAATGGGGATTTTTTTAAAAAATTTTTTTATTTATATGCTGCCCTTCTCCGGAGACTCAGGGCGGCTTACAATGCGTTAAGCAATAGCCTTCATCCTTCTGTACATTTTATACAAAGTTCAGCTTATTGCCCCCACAAACCGGGTCCTCATTTTACCCACCTTAGAAAGGATGGAAGGCTGAGTCGACCTTGAGCCTGGTGAGAATTGAACTCGCAGTAATTGCAGGCAGCTGGATGTTAAATGCTGCCTTAGTAGGAGGCATTAGCCTCCTACGCCACTCAGGCTCTTCCAGTATCCAGTATTTCGCAGTATCCTTCCCCTGCCACGCCCACCAAGCCACACCCACAGAACCGGTAGTAAAAAAAAAAAAAATTGGATTTCACCACCGGTAGCATCTCAACCCAAAGGTTTTGCCTCCGGATCTGGGTTCGAGGTTCTAAGCAGGTAGGGAGAGAAACCACCTACCGAAGGGGAGACGTCCTCGTCGAATTTCTTAATCTGGTTCATGAATTCCAGGTGCTTCTTCTCCTCCTCCAGCTGCGCCACCGACTGCTCGCTCCGCTGCAGCTTGTGCTGGGTGGCGGCCAGCTCGTCCCGGAGCCACTGATTTTCCTGCACTAAGCGCCGTACCTGAGCCCGGAGTTTCTGCTTCTCCGATTCCACGGCGCTCAGGTGGCTGGAGAGGGCGATGATCACCTGGTCGCCAGGAAGAAAACAAAGAAACAAACAAACAAACAAACAAAAGAGAAATCAGGTTCATCCATCTTGTTCAAGGAGACTCGTTGCCGGGGATTCTGCTGGCAAAGTTTATTTTTATGTTTGTCGTGCTTGTGGAGGGTAGAGTGGGAGGCGGTGACCCTGTGAGAGCTGTTAGGCAACGGAATTTTCATTTGAATGTATGCCGGTTAGGGTACATTTAAAGTGACCAGAAAGTTACTCTATGTCTATAGATGCAGAAGGAAGGAAGGAAGAGATATAGATAGATTAGATAGATAAGATAGATAGATAGATAGATAGATAGATAGATAGATAGATAGATAGATAGATAGACAGATAGACAGACAGACAGACAGACAGACAGACAGATATAGACAGACCCAGACTATCTCTATCTATCTATCTATCTATCTATCTATCTATCTATCTATCTATCTATCTATATCTATTTCTCTATAATAGCGATAACTAGATAGATAGTTGATAGAGTAGATAGAGATAGATAGATAGAAGATAGAGAGAGAGAGAAATAAATAGATTAGATAGATGGATGGACAGACAGAAAGACAGACAGAAGGATAGATAGATAGATAGATAGATAGATAGATAGATAGATAGATAGATAAGATAGATAAGATAAGATAGAAGAGATAGATAGATAGAAGATAGAGAAATAGAGACATAGACTAGATAGATGAGGATAGATGGATAGACAGATAGGATAAGATAGAAGATAGATAGATGGATAGATAGAAGAAAGATGAGACATAGATCGATAGAAGCTAGCTAGATAGATGGATGATAGATAGACAGATAGAAGAGATAGATAGAAGATAGAGAAATAGAGACATAGACTAGATATATGGATGGATAAATAGATAGATAAGATGGATAGATGATAGGATAGTAGATAGATGGATAGATAGAAGATAAATACATAGATCAATGGAAGATAGATAGATAGATAGATGCAAGGGAGGAAGGAGAGAAGAGGGAAGGAAGAAGGAAATAGATAGATAGACAGATAGATAGATAGATAGATATAGATAGAGGGATAGATGGATGACAGATAGATAGATATAGATAGAGCAGAAAAGAAGGGATAAAATCGATAAACAGATGGATAGTTTATGTAGTGTATGGAGACCCTTTGAGAGCTATTATACAACGAAATTTCATTTTTATGTACGCCGGTTAGGGTACATTTAAAATGACCATAAAGTCATTCTAAGTCTTGGGGACATAAACGCCGGGCTCCCTTGTGGTCGTAAGCCGAGGGCTGCCGTGTCCCAGGGTCACGTGATCGAGCCAAACAAGTCGACGGGAAAGCCAGATTCGCTGAACAACAAAACGTTGCTCGCTGAACAACGGCGGAGAGTCGCTTAACCCCGGCGGGCAAGAAAGATGGTAAAAGGGGGACACCCCCCCAAAAAACCCCCACTCCCTTAACAACCGTCTCGCTTAATGACATAAATTTCGGGGCTCCCCCGTGGCCGTTTAAGTCGAGGACTACCGCCGTAACCGTGAGCTCAGACATTGGCGGAGTCTCCGCAAAGTTTCCCCGCGAAGGTAGGAAGGGGGGCGACGGGGACGTTATGCCGAGATGCTGTTGTTTCCCCGCATTGCGTTAAGAAGACACGACAAAGACCCACAACACCAAACGAGGTGAGAGGTCAGCAGGTGAGACGCTCGAGTGGGGGGTTTCGGGGGGTGTCTCAATTTCGCCCCCGTCCCCGTCTCCAGCGGGAGGTACCTGGGCTTCTCCGAGGCCCAGCTCGATGGCCTCCAGGGACTTCCTCAGGAGCAGGGCCTTCTCCTGGGCGGCGCTGTTTTCAAGCTGCTGTTGCGGCTGCTGCTCCAGGCGGCTGACGGTGTCCAGCAAAGCGGCCAGCAGGGAGTGGTGCTCGCTGCGCAGGGTCTCTAACCCTTGCACCACGGCCTTGGTGCCCAGCACGATCTCGTCCTGGCTCATCTTCTCCAGCTTCTCCTCCCGGGGGTACAGCATGGTGGCCATCGCCCAACCTGCAGGCGGGAGGGGGGGGAGATTAAACAGAGTTGGAAGGGACCTTGCAAGGTCATCTAGTCCAACCCCCCTCCCTTCCCGCCCAAAGCTGGAGACCCTATACATCTGTGGTACTCTACCTAGGATCGAACTCACCACCTCCCGATTGTGAGGCGAGAGCTCCACCTCTAGGCCACAGCCGGCTGGGGAAGGAGAGGAAGGGGCAAAGGGGCAGTTGGAAAGCGCCAGTCTGGGCAAAGGGTTGATGGGTTAGGTGTTAAGAGGGAGAAAAAGCGTGAGAGTGAGAGGGGTGGTCTTTCCTCCTTCCCTCCCTTTTTTCTTCCCTCCCTTCCTCTATTCCTTCCTTCCTTAGTTCCTTCTTTCCTCCCGTCTTTATTCCTTTCTCCATTCCCTCTCGATTCCTTCCTTCCTTAGTTGATTCTTCCCTCCTTCCCTCTTTCTTCCTTCCTTCCTCTCCCTTTCTTCCCTCTCTATTCTTTTCTTTCTTAGTTTCTTCCTCCTCCTCCCTTCCTTCCCTCTCTATGCCTTCCTTCCTTAATTAGTTCCTTCTTTCTTTCTTCTTCCTTTCTCCCTCCCTTTCTCCCTTCCTTCCCTCTTTGCTTTTCCTTAATTAGTTCCTTCTTTCTTTTCTCCCTCCCTCTTTCTCCCTTCCTTCCCTCTCTATGCCTTCCTTCCTTAATTAGTTCCTTCTTTCTCCTTTTCTTCCTTTCTCCTTTCCTTCCCTCTATTCCTTCCTCCCTCTTTCTCCCTCCCTTCCCTCTTTATTCTTTCCTCCCTCCCTTCCTCCCTTCTCTATTCTTTCCTTTCCCTTCCCTTTCTTCCTCCTCTCTTCCTTCTTCTCCCTTTCTTCCTTCTCTATGCCTTTCTTCCTTAATTAGTTCCTTCTTTCTCCCTTTCCTTTCTCCCTCCCTCTTTCTCCCTTCCTTCCCTCTCTATGCCTTCCTTCCTTAATTAGTTCCTTCTTTCTCCTTTTCTTCCTTTCTCCTTTCCTTCCCTCTATTCCTCCCTCCCTTTCTCCCTCCCTTCCCTCTTTCTTTCCTTCCTCCCTTCTCTATTCCTTCCTTTCCCTTCCCTTCCTTCCTCCTCTCTCCCTTCTTCTCCCTTTCTTCCTTCTCTATGCCTTTCTTCCTTAATTAGTTCCTTCTTTCTCCTTTTCCTTTCTCCCTCCCTTTCTCCTTCCCTTCCCTCTATTCCTTCCTTCCTTCTTCCTCTTTTTCCCTTCCTTCCCTCTCTATTCCTTCCTTCGTTTCTCCTTCCCTCCCTCTTTCTCCCTTCATTCTCTATTCCGTCCTTTCCTTTCCCTTCCCTTTCCTCTCCTCCCTCCCTCCTTCCCCTCCCCTAGCAAACAATGGGTTCGCTTAATGACGACTTCATTTGCTTTACGACCAACACGTTCGCTTAACCGCCATGCAGAAGCTTGAAAAGCTGGGTGCGGTCGCATGGTGACTCTATTTACGACCGTCCTGATAAAAAAAAATACAGTGCTAAATTGAGGATCACCTGTACACAATCCTTCCTCTCTACATGAATCCGAGAAAGCTTGAGGACTAGCCTCTTTCATTGGCTTGAGTAGAGAGGAAGGGGAGGGGGGTAGCCAAAACGACGGGCCCAGAAGCCCCAAATTCAACCCCCACCCCTTTTCCCAAATAATCACCTGATTATATTCATCCTGATCTGAATTAGAAAACTTTAGAATTTTTTTTTTTTTAAAAATTCCAAAATCTACCCGCCACGATCGTTGTCAAAACTCGAGTCTCTAAAAAATCAAAGGTCAAAACTACAGAAATGTCCCTCCCATTGATTGTACGGTAGGGCAGAGGGAGGGGGATCAGCCTGTCCCTCTCCGGAAGGTCTCCCTTTGCAAAGTCAGGGGTCCGACTGGATGACCTCTCAGGTCCCAACTCCGTAAACTTAATCACCCTACGCCCGGTCCTTTTAAATCCTTGAACCCCCCCTCCCTGCCAAGGCTCTGTTTCATCTGACACCCCACCCCTCAGTTTTGGATCCCCGACACGCTTGATTAAAAACTGCAATAATTTCAATTTCTCGTCTTCTCCTGCCAATCTAACGGCCCTTTCGGATAAAAAAATTACCCAAACACGCTTTGCCCACAAACCAAACTTCTCTCCCCCCCCAATTCCCACAACCGAAGCGAGAACCCGGGTCAGTCTCTTCATTCCCAAGCCCAGAGCCCGGATCGATATCGTCTAACCTACTTTTTTAAATCACGGTCTAAATTGATAAGATAGATAGGAAAGGGATCATTTCCTCCATCCGGAGCCCCTTCCAAGCTTCGCGGCAATCTGGATTTTACGGAGCTAGGATTGGCGGGGAATTATTTGCTTTTCAAATCCCTCTCCCCCCCCCAAAAAAACATTTCTCTCTCCTGTCCAGCTTTTTTAATGCAATTCTTGAGTCTCCCCAGGAGGGGGCTAACGTCCCGGTCATTACCGACGCAATGCGGCGCTGAGCGAGTCCTTCGCTTGGACGATTCAACCGAAGTTGCATCTCCATCTCCTCCTCCTCCTTCTTCAATTCTTTCCCACCCACTCCCCTCCTCAAATATCTGCCACCCGGAGTATTTCACTTCCCTTTCTACCGTTCCCCAAAATTCTCATTTATCCCTTCCCACCGAGCCACTTCCCCCCCAAAAATCGGGATGCTGAGTTTGTGAAAAACTGAACCAAACTACATCCCAAGAAGTGGTCCTTAAACATCTTTTAAGATGCAAAAAAAAATAAAAATTAAAATGCAAGACATTTTTTTTTGTTTGTTTGTCTTGCAAACTCTAAAAAAATTCAATAACTGGAAAAAGGGAGACCCTCCCTTTTTTCCCCCCAACTTTCAAGTTGTTAAAAATATAATCCTCCTCCTCATCCTCATCCTTCACCGATTTTTGTCTTTTCACCTGCGGTCCTTGAAATCTCCTTGGTTAAATGGGAACTTTTGCGTGGATTTGTTTTGGCCGGGAGTTTTGGGGGTGTTTTTTTTTTTTTCCCACCGAAGAGATTTCGCTCAACCTTCCGGATAACTGCCTGTGTCATCCTCATCAGGAAAATCAAGTTTTGGTGTGTGTGTGTGTTTTTTTTTTCTGACAAAGCGTGCAAAAAAGGAGGAGGAAGGAGGGGACGAATGTCCCAAAGACAAGGAAGCCGAATTTCCAAAAATAGGCCGTGCCATCATGCCACTCGGGTGAAGCCAATGTTAATTCAGGCGTGGTTCCCTTGGGTTCAATAAAACCCGTCCTTAATCCAACCGGTTTAGAGGCGATGAACAATTGAACCCCAGATATACCTTATTTAAATGAGGCCTTTTCCCAGGGGGTAGCAGAAGGATGAAGAAAATAAAAATCTTAAATCGAAGAGGCAAGGGAGAGATTTAATCATCCCAGAACCACTAGGGAAAATAAAAATCAGCTCGATAGGGGAATTCAGCTTGGCCTCGCTTAGAATTTGTAAGATTTTCCAAGGGGGAGGAAATTTATTTTATTTTATTTATTTCCCCAATTTATTTTATTTATTAAAATAAATAATAAATTGATTAAAATTTATTTTATTTATTTATTTAGTTATTTTATTTGTTTTATCTTATTTATTTATTTCCCCCTCCTTTCCTGATTTTCTTTTAAATAAGCTGCTGACTTTTTCTCTCTGCCTTCGGCAAAAGTTAAATAAAGCAAAGGACTCTCTTGGTTAGTGGGTTGGTGTCGGGGATCCCAGTTCCCATCAGGCTTTGCCACAGGGCCAGTGGCTGGGGACGATGGGCCCCCGGAGGGCCTGAAGTTCCTAACTTTTAATTTGGTCTGGATTCTTAATGGACTTTTATTATCCCTTTCCATAATTTATCAGATCTGGGAGGAGAAAATAGAGGCAGTGTTGTCCAGGGTCTCTATTTTATTCGTGGGGGTGGGGTGGGGGGGATAGAGGAAATATTTCCCTTCTGCCCCCCCCCCCCTTTGCTTTTTCTCACGCTCCTTCCATCAATTCAGCCCCCTCCGTCCAAAACAGGCCTACATGTGGTGCAAATGCAGCTCAGATAGAAAAAGCACGCGGTGCAGAGTCAGGGAAATGAGTTTGTGGAGCAAACTCCGGCTTCTTAGTTGCAGGCAAAGGAATTTGGGGGGTGGGGGTGTTTTCGGACCCCAGGAAAAAAGCAAACAATAAAGTCCTCCAATTATAATATATAGATATAGATAGATAGGTAGATATAAGCCTTGCTCGACCCTCAAAGCATTGCTACAATTGAAAAAGAACAGAGAAAGAGAGAGGAGATAGACAGATAGATAGATAGATAGATAGATAGATAGATGAGAGAGAGAGAGAGAGATGATAGAGAAATAGATATGACAGAGAAGAAGAGATAGAGAGATGATAGATATGACAGAGAGAGAAGATAGATAGATAAAGATGATAGAGAAATAGATATGAGAAGAGAATAAGAGAGATGATAGATATGACAGAGAAGATAGATAGAAAGAGAGAGAGATGATAGAGAAATAGATATGACACAGAGAGAGAGAAGATAGATAGATAAAGATGATAGAGAAATAGATATGAGAAGAGAGATAAGAGAGATGATAGATATGACAGAGAAGATAAAGAGAGAGAGAGATGATAGAGAAATAGATATGACAGAGAAGAGAGAGAGAGATGATAAATAGATGACAGAGAAGATAGAGAGAGAGAGAGATGATAGAGAAATAGATATGACAAAGAAGAGAGAGAGACCGATAGATAAGAGAGAGAGAGAGAGATGATAGAGAAATAGATATGACAGAGAAGAGAGATAGAGAGAGATGATAAATAGATATGAGAAGATAGATAGATAGAAGATAGAGAGAGGGGGGGATAGAGATGATAGAAATAGAAAAGGTAGATATGACAGAGAAGATAGACAGACAGACAGACAGACGAGATAGATGATAGATAGAAGTATAGATAGCGAGATGATACAGGTATAGATAGAGATAGATAGATGGTATACAGTAGATATATAGAAAGAAGGAAGGAAAGAAGGAAAAATGAATGAATAGATAGATATAGACAGACATAGAGAAATAGAGATAACTAGATAGACAGTTGATAGAGTAGATATAGATAGATAGATTTTTTTTCAGTTTTAGCAATACTTTTAAGAGTCAAGCAAGGCCCTTTACATTTGGGGGGGGCTCCTTCTGGGCAACTTCTCCTTTTTTTGGGGTGGGGGCATCCCTCCTGAAGGCCAGGACTACTGGCGGGGGGGGGGGGGGGGGCTCCTTTTCCGATTCACACCACCCATGCCCTACAAAAGAGGGCATTTCCCACCCTTTGGCCTGAAAGGGGAAACGGGGTGACCTCCAAACTCACAAACCCACCCACCCCAAAATCCCCAGGACCCCCGCCCTCCATTCCTTTCTGGGAAGACCCCCAACCCCTCCCCTCCCAAGCTTAATTGGCATTGGGGTGGGGGTGAGTCTTTTGGTCATTCTTCTCCTCTTATAAGAGGGTCTCTCCCACTCATTTCGCCCACCCCCCTTGGGGCTAACTGAATCCTTCTGGGCTTTTTTGGGGGGGGTCTCCCTCCCTCTCCCCCTTTTTCTCCTGCTTCCTCCCCCAGTTGAATGAAGGGGCTGGGTGACCATGGAAGGCAGAGACCCCCCCTCCCCATCTTCTCCCCCCCCACACACAGGAGAGGGGCTAAGAAGGAGGGGGGTCTAGCAAAAGCTGCCCACCCCCCTTATTTAAGCTTCCCTGAAGGGGAGGGGGGAAAATCCCCTTTCCAAGCCCCCCCCCAATTCTACAGCCCCATTTGGGGAAGGGGCTGCCTCTCCCCTTCATGAACCCCACTTTCTTTGGGGAAGGGGGGGATGAGGAGGGGTCCTTGCCCCCTCCCACTTTGGGGACCCTCACCCACCCCTCCTCCCTTGCACCCCAAAAGGAAGACCCCCCCACTTCTTTTAAAGGGTATTGGGGGGGTCTTCAGCCTGATGGAGGGCCCTTCTCGTTATGGGGAGGGGGGAAGAGATAAAGAAAGGGGGGGCAGAGGGAGAAAGAAGGGACCCCCCCACCGCCTCGCCCTCCTTCCTACCTGCGCGCGCAGCCCTGGCTCGACCGGTGCGGCTTCCAGCCCGGCGGACTCACATCCTTCCCGGCAGGCTTTGCGGCACCGGCGAGCGCGCGGCCCCGCCCCCAAACAACCGCCTTAAAGGGGAAGCGGAGGAAGGAGGAGTTTAAAAAAAATAAATAAAAGCGCGTCGGAGGACAAATAACCCAGCGGGTTTGGCGCCGCCTCCTCCTCCTCGGCGGCCCCCGCCCGCGCCGCTTCTCTTAAAGGGGAAGGCGCTGCTGATGCTTTCCGCTTGGACGGGGAGATGCTCCAGTTTGCAATAATAAAATATAATATACTATACTATGCTATGCCACAATATAATATAATAAATATAATAAATAACTATGATGTTATAATATATAATATACTATACATATAATAAATTATATCTGTATTATATACTATACCATAATATAATTATAATTGTATAATATATACTATATCATAATATATATTATATAATTATATAGATATAAATTATATCTGTATTATATTATAATATATACTATACTATACTATAATATAAATTGTAACTATTATATATACTATATTATAATACACTATACTATACTATATACTATAATACATATAAAATTTATTATAATTGTATAATATATACTATACCATAATATATATTATATAATTATATAGATATAAATTATATCTGTATATTATATACTATACTATTATGTTATAATATATACTATAATACATATAATAAATTATATCTGTATTATATACACCATATAATTATAATTGTATTATAATATATACTATACCATAATATATATTATATAATTATATACAGATATAAATTATATCTGTATATTATAATATATACTATACTATACTAAATATAAATTGTAACTAATATATATACTATACTATAATACACTATACTATAATTGCAATATAGTATAGTATAATAATATAATACCATGTTTCCCCGAAAATAAGACCCTTATAATTTTTTTGAACCCTGAAATAAGCGCTTGGCCTTATTGCCATGCGCTCAAAAGGCCGATTGGGCTTATTATGAGGGGAGGTCTTATTTTATGGGAAACACGGTATATTATACTATATTACAATTATAGTATAGCGTATTATAGTATAGTATATTATATATAGTAGTTATAATTTATATTTATTATAGTATAGTATGGTATAGTATAATAAATATAAATTATATAATACAGGTATAATTTATATATATCTGTATATATAAATTTTATATATATTATAACGTATAATATGAAGTATAATAAAATATAATATAAGGGGGGGTGTTGCTGCATAAGGGGCCACAGACCCCAACTTGTTCCCGTTGGATGTTGCATGGCAAAATATAGAGGGAGGGGGGGAAGGAATGCCATGTTGGAGAAGGCAGGTGCACGATGAGGACTAGGATCTTGACTTTGATTAGGGAGAGTGGTGGCGAGCAAAATGCCTGATTTGCACCGTGTGTGTGTGTGTGTGTGTGTGTGTGTGTGTGTGTATGTATGTGTGTGAGAGAGAGAGAGAGAGACAGAGACAGAGTTGGAGGTTCCCAGATCCAACCTCAGCTTTCCCTAATCTCTCATACCCTCTCATCCTGTCCAATTTTAATTCATTTTAATTAGTGCCTAGTTCAGGGAATCGGATGTGCTGTGGATCTGGACAGCCCCTAAACCACTAGGAATTTGGGGGAGGTGGAGGGGAGAAAGTGGGATGTGTGAACTTCTCATACATATTACAGGCAGTCCTTGACTTACGACAGTTCATGTAGTGACCAAAGTTTCAACAGCTTTGTTGAAAAAAGAAAATGTGATTTATGGCTGTTTTTCACACTCGTGTCTGTTATGGCATCCCCCCACCCCACAGCCACTTAAGATTCAGACACTTGGCCACTTCAATCAAATCAATCATAGCCCATGTCAATCAATCAATCAATCAATCAATCAATCAATCAATCAATCACAACTCACTTCAATCCAATCAATCACAACCCACAATCAATCAATTCAATCCAATCAATCCATCACAACTCCCCCAATCAATTCAATCAATCCAATCAATATTTGAAGCACTTTACGAAACAAATCCACCTCGAGAGAGAGAAATATATATATTAAAAAAAAACAATTTATTTAATGAAAAAAAAAAAAACCAAAACCAACCTACAAGGAAGTGGTTGAGGGACAACGGAACCCCCGAAGGATCAAATGCATTAAAACGCCAATCCGGCTACGAAACCCAGAAATTCTGAATATGGATCATTGGGATGAAGTGGGGATGTGGAAAAAAAACAAAAACAAAAAAACCTTGAAATCTGCATTCTGAACAAAGGAGAGGAACGAGCACAATTACAAAAAAAAAGAAAAAGAAATATATATATATATATACAAAACTCATATTTATGTACAGTAGCCGAGAGAACAGACCACGTGGAAATTCAAATAGTTCCAAAATCAAAAAGATGTGCAAATTCGACACAGTGTGTACAAGAAAACACCCACGGTCCTTGAATGGAGTCACTGTAACAGTCAAGACGGGGGGGGAGCTTGGCGGTGAGACGGCAAAGGGGGACGTTTTCGAGGCGGGCAACCAGAAGCTACTCGCACCCAAAAAAACAGGGCTCTTTTGGGGGGGTGTCCCCATTTTTTGAGCTCCTTTTGCAGACCAGAACACAGGCCTGGGTCTCCGTCGTAACTATCCCTAGGATCGCATCCCAACTCTTGTCTTCGGTTCCGGAAGAGAAATAATCCCGTTTTCTCACAGTCTTCTGAGCCACCGGCTTGGTGGTCCATGGCTCAGGAGCACGGGTCTTTCTGGACCAGCCTGTTCTCGATCGGGGTCTTCTTCCGACCCTCCAAACCTTTGGGAAATCGGATGGAAATTTTGGAGGTGAGGAAGTGTCGAGACTCTATGGTTTCTCTGGTCCTTTTCTCTGGGGTCTTTTTCTCGCCAGATTTTGGCAAGGGGGAAGCCATGCTTTTTCCCAAGCCTCTCTCTGGAGTAGCAGGAATATTCAAGAATTGTGCTTAATTATATAAGTCCTCTGCTCTAGCGGGAGGGATGGTGCCATCGTCGTCCCCTTGGAACCAAAAGTCCGCTGGGGTGGGGGAACAGGTAGGCAAACTCTCAACAGAAGGAGCCAAAACCAAGGAGGAAAATAAAAATAAGAAATATGGGGATTGTAGAGACCAAGATTTTTAACCAGGGAAATGAGATCCTCTAAGCTGGCTGATCCCTCCGAGATTTAAAGGGGATCTCGCTAATCGGACCTAAAAGTCTTGTTGCTGGTTGCTGTTTATTCTCATTATTTTTTTTAATCCAAAACTGAACTCTGGGGAAAAAAAAAAAATGTCGGAAAGATTGGATGGCAAGCTACACACCTTCTGTTTGGGGAAGTGGGGGGCAAAACCCACCCAGTGTGGGGGTATCGAAGAGCTCCCGATAAAAGGGGAACGATTTCTTTTATTGCTGATTATAAATGGAGATCCAGAGGTCTGAGCTTGCTTAAAAGGAAAACTAATTTTTTTTTAAAAAAAAAAAAAGTAGGGGAGGTTAAGATAGCATCCGTTGACCCCCCTGGAATTCCAGTGTCTGGGTTTCGCTTTTTGAGAGGTGTGTGAAAGGGTTGATTTTAAAAAGGATGGCGTGGGAAGAAACGAAATCGGAGAGAGGTCGTGAAGAGGTCTCCCCACTGGATCGGTTCAGATTTACACTGGAGCGCTGCTCTTAAAAAAAAAACAATTTGTTTTCTTGGAGCACAGCTGTAGACGTGATCCCTATTCTAAATTTGCGGGGGGGCGGTGATTCCACCTTCTTGCTACAAAATCTCGTTTTTTCTACTTTCCAAAATCAAGGGCTTTCGAACGAAGACAATCCAGCAGGTTTTAAGATGGTGTGAACTCCCGCCTGGAGTCTTTTCTTTCTTTTTTTTTTTTTGCCAATTCTTGGTTTCTTTCCTAAATCCGAGACAGGAATGAGGCTGGGGATCTCACCTGGCAAACAGGTGGAGGTGTCGAATGGCTTCCACGGTGAGACGTCAGAAGAACGGTGCAGGAGAAGGGAAGAGGTTTGGATTGGGGGGGGGTTGCCCTTTGTATTATGGGATGCCCCCCCTCCCGTGACATTCCAGAGATGGTGGTTAGCAGGCGGAGCCGAATAGGACATGAATCCTTCCCACCCCACCTTCCGCGGGGTAAACCGATCTTCTCTATCGCTTTTCGTGATCGGAGAGACGGAGCTAGTCCGGTTCAACGAGGAAAAGGCCGGTTCGCGCAAGAGGGAATGTTCTTTCCACTCTCCTCGCCCGGTGGAGTTACAGAAGAGTGGTGTCCCCTACTAACAGCTGGGGTTGTTAAGCAGCCCCCAGGGAGCTTTGCCGTGTTTGTGCTTCTAGAAAAGCCGAAACGAGACAAAAATAAAATTTGGGAAAGCATCTCCGGGGTCGGAACAGGATGGAACAGGAGGAGGTGAAGAAGACAAGTTTTCCACGGATCACGAGTTTGCCAATAGGCTCTTTCGGAAGACTCCGGCACACCGGCGCGCTGACCCAGCTCAAGGGAGAGAAGTGGTGCGCGGTCCGATGAGTGGACGGGAGAGATCTGGAGTGATCAGAAGAATCGGTTCTTGAGTGGCGGCACGCTCAGCACGGATGAGAGGCCGGAGGCCCACGGCACGATGTGGCGGTACGCGTTATAAAAGCAATCGGCGGGCCAGGTCCTTGGCTGGATCGAAAATGAAACACCCCCCCTCTGTTTTGGGGGGTTTGGGACCCTCCATCCCTCCCTCCCTCCCTCCCACCCCACCCACCCCTCTCCAGCAAAGCCCGATCGAGACACAGGAAACGCGACACGGGTGAAGTGAGCTCAGCGCAGCTCTCGGTTGGCGGATGGTTCGGATGGAGGTGGTGGCCCGACGCCGTGGCGGAGCCAGGAGGGCGCGAGAAGGCATTCTTGCCGTCTCCCTTTCAGGCTGGCTTGGTGCCAAAAAGTCCCACGGGGAAGTGCTTGACGTGGGTGGGCCACTGGGCGGCCAGCTGAAAGAACTTGATGTCGCTCCATTCCACTCCGTCAATGGAAACTACGAAACAATGGAGGGGGGGTTTTGGTCAGTGGGTCAGGCGGCCTTGTCTAAAGCTGCACTTATATTGAGAGAGCCAGCTTAGACCGGGGGTGAAGGCTAGAAAGCAGGAGACATGGAGTTCTAGTCCCACCTTAGGCATGAAACCCAGCCTGGTTACTTTGGGCCAATCACCAGGAGATGGTGAGTTCTAGTCCTGCCTTAGGCATGAAAGCTGACTGTGGGGAAAACAGGAGGAAGGAGGAAGATTAGGTAAGTTCACTGCCTTAAATTCTCCTTGGTCTGTTCTATGTCTCCTCTGCTTGGAAATCCTTCTCCAGCGGACTATCACAAGTCCCACTCCCCCCCAAACCCCCCCCTCCCCCCCCAGGCCTTACCTTTCATCATGGTCTGCTGTTGTTTGGCCGAGCAGATGAGCCGGCTGATGCCGTCAATCATTTGGCTCTTGGAATCAACCTCTCTCTCTTTGGGTTTCTTGCTCAGGAAAATGGTGGGCACTAGAAAGAAGGGAGGAAGAGGAGACAACACCAGTTGGGGGACAACTCGGAAAGCAGCAGAACGAGACGATTCCTTTGGACAAAGGCCAGCAGGCGGCTAGTCCTCAAGGATCCCCTCGGGAGGGAGCGTGGGGCAGCTATAAGCGGCTGCCCCTCGGGAGATCCCGACGGATGCTTCTCCTGTTCTGACCTAGGCTTCCCCTGCAGCACGAAGCCGAGTCCTCGTCCCGATAAACCCCTTTTATTTAATTTACAGTGAATTCCTCTCCAGTAAAGTCTTTCAAGATAGTTCAGAATTCCCAAACTTTATCAGGCTTGGCGAGTGGCCAGGCCGATATCTTTCAGACACCGCCAATACTTGTAAAGAATGCAGCAATGAACTAAATTGCCTCCTGCAAACTCCACTCCCCTTTCGCTCCTCTTTTAGTCCCTCTGGGAGGGGCCATTCATCGTCCACCTGTGGCTTTACTCCTGAGTCGCCCCTTGTTCTTTAGCTGTTTCGTCTGGCAACTCTGCGCATGCGTACGCTGGGAACAGGCTCCAGCTGTTCGTCTGCCTCACTGATGTCTGACTCCGAAGGCAGCTGATAACTGGCAAATGGCCCTGGCCCTCTCTCTGCCTCCGACGCAGAGCCCTTGTCCGAGCCTTCCCCAGATTCCAAGAATGGACCACGTTCCTCTCCAACCTCCCCCCTCTCCGAATCTGCTACCACGACATACCTTTCTTGTTCTTCTCCTTGGTGACGACCGTCATAGCCATGGTCCCCGAGGGCTGGGTCTCCCCACTGTTGGGAAGCCGCGAGACCTGGACCGAACGGAAGACGCTCTTCAGGGTGTTTTTGGAGCTGCTGTCCTTCTTCTCCCCTTCCTTTCTCTTCTCCGTGGGTTGAACAAGCCAGTAATCGACCTGCAGGCCGATCACATCGCTGTAAGGGCTGCTGGGAGACCTGGGATCCGGAAGAAGAAAGAAAGAAAGAAGAACAAGAAGAAGAAGAGCGGGCAAGTAAGTCAATCCGGCACTGCCAGGCAGCTCCCCACCCCCCCCTTCTGAAAAACGGAACAGCAAGAGAAATGGAGGAGGAAGCCTCAAGCCAGGGTTTTTTTTTGAAACCTCCAGAAACCCAAGGACGGCCAAAGCATGGGAGCAGTGCTTAGGTGACTTCCTGCCTGAAAACAGGAAGCACTTTTGCCAAGCGTTGACGGGACAGAAGGTGGTGGCACTGACCTTGGGAGGTGGGGGGAAAGGATGCTGCCTAGGGAAGGATCAGATAAGAGGGAGCCTAGCCCACAGCTGTATAACGGGCAGAGAAAGAGACTCAGAAAGGAGCCGCCGTAACTTCTCAGGCTGGAAAAGAGACAGCGGGAGATGGGTGCTTTCAGACTTGCGAGGTTCGGTGAAAAGGAAGCCTTTACAATAAAGTAGAATTTAAGCCCATCCGGTCGGGGGCTTGTTTTGTTTTTTTCCCCCTGCCTGGTCTATTTCAGGAAGGCTTAGAATAACACAGTTGGAAGGGACCTTGGAGGTCTTCTAGTCCAGCCCCCTGCTTAGGCAGGAGGAAACCCTACAGTCGTATGTCAGAGGTAGCACACAGAGTCCTCTCTGTGGGCACGTACGCCGTTGCCAGCTGCTTTTCTGGTTTCCAGCTCGCACATGTGTGCCAGCCAGCTGGTCTTTGCGGCCGCCGGAGTGCCGGAAAACAGCCGGAAAACAGCCTGAAAAATGGCCAAAACCAGGCCATTTTTCAGGCTGCTATCAGACCAGTGTTTTCGGAGTGTTTTCAGGCAGTTTTTGGCTAGCTGGATACCCATGCTCCGCTACAAAACTATGTGATGGGGTTTGATAAATCGACACTTACAGCTTGAAAATTAATGAGTAGTTACGATCGGCCTCTCTCCTTCTCTCCCTCAGCCTTGCCCCACAGAAGCCTCCCCTATCCTGTCCCCCTTCTCTCCCTCAGGTTTTCCCCATAGAAGCCTCTCTCCTTCTCTCCCTCAGCCTTGCCCCACAGAAGCCTCCCCTATCCTATCCCCCTTCTCTCCCTCAGGCTCGCCCCATAGAAGCCTCTCCTCTCCCCTTCTCTCTCTCAGGCTGGCCCTATAGATCCTCTCCTCTCTCCTTCTCTCCCTCAGAGAGTTATTTTCAAGTTGGGAGTGGGAGTAGAATGTCTAACTCCTTAGCATCAGCGTGTGTTAATCATAATATAGGAAATACGAATGCTCTGATGGTCATTTCGAAAAATCCTTTCTCAGCGAGCACCTAGAAGCCAAGAGGAACATACGTGGCAAATTTCAAATTTGTAGGCTTTACGGTTCTGGAGATTTCGTGATTACGGCGTGAGTGGTTTTCGCTTTTATATAGAGAGAGATTTAGGCCATTTAAGCCAGCAACCGATTTGTTAAGTGAATCTCCCTTCCCCCTCGACTTTGCTAGTCAGGCGGTCGCAAAAGGGGATCGCGTGACATACACTCCCCTCCGGGACACTACGATTGTCATAAATATGAGTCAGTTGTCAAGCGTCTGAATTTTGATCGCGTGGCCGCGGGGAATGCAGCAACGGTTGTGTGAAAACAGTCCTAAGTCACTTTTTCCCAGTGTCGTTTTAACTTCGAGCGGTCACTAAATGAATTGTCATAAGTTGGGGGCCACCTGTGCTGATTTTAAAGTCATCTAGGGGGCTGCTTTAATATCCATCCTAGAGTGGTGCGGTGGCCTAGAGATGAAGCTCACGCCTCACAATTAGGAGGCTGTGAGTTAGAGGCAGATATTTCTTTCTCTGGGCACAATGAGAATATTATCTGCTGAACAAAACTCCGCCCTGGTGACAGGAAAGGCATCCGGCCAGTAAACACTCAGGTAGCTCCATTCAGTTGCCCAGACTCTACCCCGCAAGGAATTACGAGGTCGTTAATAGAGGATGATGAGTACTGAGACACCTCGGGGGGAAGTGCAAGAAAATTATTCCCCGTTCTGAAGCTTTGGGGGGGGAGGGGTCCAACACGAAGTCTTTCGCAAAGACCAGGAGAAGAGAACGTCCGCCATGCCCAAAATCTTGGTGTCTCCTGACTTACTTACCCCACCACAGCCAAGCCGCTGGTCATCGAAGGGGAGGACGGTGGGGTGGCAGAGACGTCCTTGGCGAGGCCCGAAGTTGAAGGCGGAGAGGTGGAGGGGACGGTGAGGCTGATGACCGGGGAATCGTCCCCCTCACCTGTGAAGGAAAGAAAGGAGGAAAGATTTTGTCCCAGGGATGCTTTATCATCTTGAAGGTGTGTATATGGACTTCGATTCCCAGAATCCCCCAGCTGGCGCGAGTCCTCTTTTTATACTCCAGAAAGCATAAAATACCATCGAGGTCTCATTTTCCCCCCCATTATCAAGACGGGCTGGCTATTTTCTAGGCGACGATGAATATTTGGATGCAAGGGGCACCTGGGGTGAGGCCAGTCTTAGAAAAATAATAAAGGCGGGATAAAAATTAACAATAATAATGGAACGGAAGGGAACGGAAGAGAAGAGAATATAGAAAAGAAAAGAAAAGAGAATAAGGAATAGAATATAGAAGATGGGATAGAATAGAATAGAATAGAATAGAATAGAATAGAATAATGGAATGGAATGGAATGGAATGGAATGGAATGGAATAGAATAGAATAGAATAGAATAGAATAGAATAGAATAGAATAGAATAGAATAGAATAGAATAGAATAGAATAGAATAGTGGAATGGAATGGAATAGAATAGAATAGAATAGAATAGAAAATATGGAATGTCATATAGCAGAGCATAGCAGAGAACAGAATAATGAAATAGAATGTGGAATAGACTATGGAATAGAAAATAGAAAATAGAACGGAACGGAACAGAGTTTTAATTTAAATAAATACCTGCTGCTGCAGGTGAATCTTCAATGAGGCCCACCTTCACCACCTGGAAGAGGAAAAGACACAGACTGTGAATCCTTTTCCAACCTACCCCCCCTCCTCTTCAGATCAGGAGCCTGCAGGTGGAAGCCGAACCTTCCTATGGGAGGACACTTACACACAGACACACACAAAAAACTCTATATAATTTGGATATTTTATTCTCTCCCCCACAAGCCAACAGGACTAATAATATTTTTAAACATGGAATTCCACCCCGAATCACATTCCAGCATCCATTTTTACATTTGAGTCAAAAAAATTTTTTTTGCTCCTGGGCAGCTTTTTTTCTGACCGCGGCATCACGGGTTTTTTTCCTTGGGCAGCAAAAACACTCGATTTTTAAAAACAGCTAATAATAATATTTTTAAGCATGGAATTCCACCCCGAATCACATTCTAGCATCCGTTAGAATAGAATAGAATAGAATAGAATAGAATAATGGAATGGAATGGAATGGAATGGAATAGAATAATGGAATGGAATGGAATAGAATAGAATGGAATAGAATAGAATAATGGAATGGAATGGAATGGAATAATGGAATGGAATGGAATGGAATGGAATAGAATAGAATAGAATAGAATAGAATAGAATAGAATAGAATGAATAGAATAGAATAGAATAGAATAGAATAGAATAGAATAGAATAGAATAGAATAATGGAATGGAATGGAATGGAATGGAATAGAATGGAATAGAATAGAATAATGGAATGGAATGGAATATAATGGAATGGAATGGAATGGAATGGAATGGAATAATAGAATAGAATAGAAAGAATAGAATAGAATAGAATAGAATAGGATAGAATAATGGAATGGAATGGAATGGAATGGAATGGAATAGAATAGAATAGAATAGAATAGAATAGAATAGAATAATGGAATGGAATGGAATGGAATGGAATGGAATGGAATGGAATGGAATGGAATAGAATAATGGAATGGAATGGAATAGAATAGAATGGAATAGAATAGAATAATGGAATGGAATGGAATGGAATAATGGAATGGAATGGAATAGAATGGAATGGAATGGAATAGAATAGAATAGAATAGAATAGAATAGAATAGAATAGAATAGAATAGAATAGAATAGAATAGAATAGAATAGAATAGAAAATATGGAATGTCATAGTATAACAGAGCATAGCAGAGAACAGAATAATGAAATAGAATGTGGAATAGACTATGGAATAGAAAATAGAAAATAGAACGGAACGGAACAGAGTTTTAATTTAAATAAATACCTGCTGCTGCAGGTGAATCTTCAATGAGGCCCACCTTCACCACCTGGAAGAGGAAGAGACACAGACTGTGAATCCTTTTCCAACCTACCCCCCCTCCTCTTCAGATCAGGAGCCTGCAGGTGGAAGCCGAACCTTCCTATGGGAGGACACTTTACACACAGACACACACAAAAAACTCTATATAATTTGGATATTTTATTCTCTCCCCCACAAGCCAACAGGACTAATATAATATTTTTAAACATGGAATTCCACCCCGAATCACATTCCAGCATCCATTTTTACATTTGAGTCAAAAAAATTTTTTTTGCTCCTGGGCAGCTTTTTTTCTGACCGCGGCATCACGGGTTTTTTTCCTTGGGCAGCCAAAAACACTCGATTTTTAAAAACAGCTAATAATAATATTTTTAAGCATGGAATTCCACCCCGAATCACATTCTAGCATCCATTTTTACATTTGAGGAAAAAATTTTTTTTTGCTCCTGGGCACCTTTTTTTCTGACCGCGGCATCACGCGTTTTTTCCTCGGGCAGCAAAAGCACTCAATTTTTAAAAACAGCTAATAATAACATTTTTAAACATGGAATTCCACCCCGAATCACATTCCAGCATCCGCTTTTACATTTGAGAAAAAAAATTTTTTTTGCTCCTGGGCAGCTTTTTTTTGACCGCGGCATCACGCGTTTTTTCCTCGGACAGCAAAAACACTCGATTTTTAAAAACAGCTAATAATAATATTTTTAAGCATGGAATTCCATCCCGAATCACATTCTAGCATCCCTTTTTACATTTGAGAAAAAATATTTTTTTTGCTCCTGGGCAGCTTTTTTTCTGACCCCGGCATCACACGTTTTTTCCTCGGGCAGCAAAAACACTCGATTTTTAAAAACAGCTAATAATAATATTTTTAAACATGGAATTCCACCCCGAATCACATTCCAGCATCCGCTTTTACATTTGAGAAAAAAAAATTTTTTTGCTCCTGGGCAGCTTTTTTTCTGACCGCGGCATCACGCGTTTTCTTCTTCTGGGAGCAAAAACACTCGATTTTTAAAAACAGCTAATAATAACATTTTTAAACATGGAATTCCACCCCGAAACTCATCCTAACATCCGTTTTTACATTTGAGAAAAAAATATTTTTTTTGCTCCTGGGCAGCTTTTTTTCTGACCGCGGCATCACGGGTTTTTTTCCTTGGGCAGCAAAAACACTCGATTTTTAAAAACAGCTAATAATAACATTTTTAAGCATGGAATTCCACCCCGAACCACATCCTAACATCCGTTTTTACATTTGAGAAAAAAACTTAATAGGTCGGCAGACAAGGCTGCAGAGCGAGGCTTTTTAAAAAGAGGACCCAGACATCCTCTTTTGTCTGGGTGTGTTTGTGAGCAGCATCACAAACTCTCCCGTTAAAAAACTCAAAGAGACGCTGGGTTTTTTTTGTCCTTTTTTTTCCCCCCCTTCCTGCAGCTGTTAGCCTGGTCCTTTATGGCCCAAATGTGGGCAATTTGGGGGCAACTTCTCTCTTTCATTGCTCCAACCTTCCGCTTCTCTGAGCAAGTCACAAGCTTAACGCAGGTTAACTGTGCGGAGAGGGCAAACGAGAAGGGGGGGAAAAATATTTATTTTTCACGAAGCTGTCGCAACAATCCTAAAGGCAGTGGTGGTTTGGGGAGAGGGGGGGTGGTTTATTTTATTTTATTATTTTATTATTTTATTTTATTTTATAATTTTATTTTATTTCATTTTTTAATTTTTTAATTTTATTATTTTATTTATTATTTTATTTTATTTTATTTTATTATTTTATTTTATTTTATTTATTTTATTTTATTTATTTTATTATTTTATTTATTTTATTTTATTTTATTTTATTTTATTTTATTTTATTTTATTATTTTATTTTATTTTATTCGCCTTATATGCCGCCCTATCTCCCAGTGGACTCAGGGCGGCTCACAATAATAAAAACACTAAGCCACAATACAAAATAAAATCAAAAATAAATAAATAAATAAATAAATAAAACTTAACCCTTACAACCCCATCAGTCCAGGGTCAAAGGATTTGAAAAGCCAAGTTTTTAATTCACGGCGGAAGGTGCGAAGGCCAGGCGCTAATCGGAGCTCCAAGGGGAGTTATCCAGGATAGCCCCTATTCTTCTTATTTATTTATTTTTCTTATTAAAAAGAAAAATAATAAAATGGGACTTGAGTGCTGCAGAGCTTTTCGTGCCAGAAATGTTCGATCCATTTGGCTTTCTTTGGGTTTTTTTTTTTTAAAAAAACTGTTAATTATATATATAGCTCTTTTTAAATTATTCTTACGGCATTGACCGCGCCTGGCGCTTTGGTGAAGCGCTACTTGACCTTGGCTTGACTCAAGGGGTTTTATGCATTCGTCGATCAATAACTATAAATAACGACAAACAAGAAGAAAGGCAGATTGGTGTCATGGTGAAGGTGGAGGCCCAGCGACCGGGGGAAGGTGAGTTCTAGTTCCACCTAAGGCCTGAAAGTCAACTGAGTGACCAGGAGACAGTGAGTTCTAGCCCTGCCTAAGGCACGAAAGCCGGCTAGTTGACTTTGGACCAATCACCAGGTGACAGTGAGTTCTAGTCCCACCTAAGGCATGAAAAGATGGGTGACCTTGGGCCACACCAGGTGACAGTGAGTTCTAGTCCTGCCTAATGGATGAAAGTAAGCTGGCTGACCTTGGGCCAATCACCAGGACACTGGGAGTTCTAGTCCTACCTAAGGGATGAAAGTCAGCTGGCTGACCTTGGGCCAATCACTAGGAGACAGTGAGTTCTAGTCCCACTTTAGGCATGAAAGCTGGCTGAGTGACCTTGGGCCAATCACCAGGTGACAGTGAGTTCTAGTCCCACCTAAGGCATGAAAGATGGGTGACCTTGGGCCATACCAGGTGACAGTGAGTTCTAGTCCTGCCTAATCGATGAAAGTAAGCTGGCTGACCTTGGGCCAATCACCAGGACACTGGGACTTCTAGTCCTACCTAAGGGATGAAAGCCAGCTGGCTGACCTTGGGCCAGTCACTAGGTGACAGTGAGTTCTAGTCCCACCTAAGGCATGAAAGATGGTGACCTTGGGCCATACCAGGTGACAGTGAGTTCTAGTCCTGCCTAATCGATGAAAGTAAGCTGGCTGACCTTGGGCCAATCACCAGGTGACAGTGAGTTCTAGTCCTGCCTAATGGATGAAAGCCAGCTGCCTGACCTTGGGCCAATCCCCAGGTGAAGTGAGTTCTAGTCCTGCCTAAAAGCATGAAAACTGACTGGTTGACCTTGGGCCAATCAACAGGAGACAGGGAATTCTAGTCCCGCCTAAGGCATGAAAGCTGGCTGGGAGTCTTTGGGCCGGTCCTCCCTCTCAGTCCCACCCACTTTGCAGGGCTGTTGTTGTGGGGAAAACAGAAGGAAGGAAGAAGGAATGATACGTTTGCCTCCTTGAATTATTTATAAAAACAATAAAGTTGAGGTAAAAATATATAATTTAAAAAAAAACCCCACATCTTTTTGTGATCGCCACCCCTCAAGCTTGCAAACCAATTAGCCGATCGACCATGCCCAAAAATGTTTGCAAATACCCTTGATTGACAGAAAGTGTAAAGAAGCTTTTTTTGTTTGTGTGTGTGTGTGTGTGTGCGCGTTTGTGTGTATTATTATTTGTGATATCTTCCGATACAACAGGCCGGAATTGGCCGCCGATGATGGATCCCTTTTGGTCTCCTGCCAAGCCCTTGGCCTAGAAAGGATAAAATTAGCCCGAGCTCAATTAGATCTTGCCTCCTAATTTGAGGCACCTTTTGGGTTTCGGCCACAACTTCCCGTCGGCGTCCGCCTGGCAACGGGGACGGGCGAGCGAGCCAGCGGGGTTAGCAAAGGCAATCAAGGACACCCAGCTGTCTAATTTTTGGCTCCCCAAAGCTGGGTTTGTTTTTTTTTTTTTTTTTCTTTTTTTCGTTCACACCTGGGCAAGTGGATTTGGGCCCGAAGCCGCCTGAAACCTGAAACCTGTTTTCCAAATGGCCCGAGAGTCTTAAGCTTGTCTTACCCCAATGAAAGGGATGAACTTCTGGTAGGAATCTTCATCTTGGCTGCAGACGGAAAAAAAAAAAAGAAAAAAAGGAAGAAGTGGTTATTTCGACCAATAAACTGATGTTTAACATCCCTCTAGAGCAGTCATGGCGAACCTGTTCGGCGCCGAGTGCCTGAAAGGCCGCATGGAAACGTCGCGCGGGCCCACGCTCGTCGGGCCCACGCTCTGGAAAAGCCGAGCTTCCCGGGTTCTGGCGCGCATGGGCACCCGACAATCAGCTGGCCGGCGCACATGTGCACATCGGTTTTCGGCACTGCCTTGTACTTGTAATACTATGCTTTTTGTGCCCCATGAAAACAAGGAAGGAGGGAGGGAGGGAGGGAGGGGAGGAAGGAGGAATGATGGGAGGGAGAAAGGATGGAGGATGGGAGGGTGGGAAGGAGGAAAGGTGATGGGAGGAAGATGGAGGGAGCGAGGGAGGGAGGAAGTAAGGAGGGAGGAAGAAAGGAAGGAGAGAGGGAGGGAGGAAGGCAGAAGGAAGGAAGTATGATGAGGGAAGGAGGAAAGGTGATGGGAGGGAGGAGGAAGGAAGAAGGAAGGATGATGGGAGGGAGGGAGGGAAAGAGGAAAGGTGATGGGAGGGAGGGAGGAAAGGTGATGGGAAGAGGAAGGAAGGAGGAAGAAAAGAAGAAGGAAGGATGATGGGAGGGAGGGAGGGAAAGAGGAAAGGTGATGGGAGGGAGGGAGGAAAGGTGATGGGAAGAGGAAGGAAGGAGGAAGAAAAGAAGAAGGAAGGATGATGGGAGGGAGGGAAGGAGGAAAGGTGATAGGCGGAAGGGAGGGCGGGAGGGAGGAAGGAAGGAAGGATGATGGGAGGGAGGGAGGGAAAGAGGAAAGGTGATGGGAGGGAGGGAGGAAAGATGATGGGAGGGAGGGAGGAAAGGTGATGGGAGGGAGGAAAGATGATGGGAGGGAGGAGGGAGGAGGAGGAAGGATGGTTGGAGAGAGGGAGAAGGAAGGAAGAAGATGATGGTGGAAGGGAAGGAGGGAGGAAAGGTAATGGGGGAGGGAGGGGGAAGGAAGGATGATGGGAGGGAGGGAGGGAGGGAGGGAGGGAGAATGGATCTGAATTACCTGCTAGCACCAAACAGCAGGAAACCTTAGCTTAGCTTTTGCTCAATTATCTTTCCCCTCTGCATCACCCATCACCGGTCTACACCTGGCATTCACAAGCCGGGTTTATACGTGGCTCGTGAGCTTCGGAGACCACCCTCTGTTTAGTGTCCAAGGAGTTGCAGCGAGCGATCTCAAGAGAACCGCCGGTTCGTGGGGTGTAACGATCTGATTGACCGACCGAGAAGCTCTTTGGCAAAACAGGATCCCGGCTCATCCCACCAGCTACCTTCACTCGTCTTTGTTTTTATTTCTTCAGCTTATTGAAAGCGGCATCGTGCCAGAACTTACAATTTGTGTTTGCAGGTCAACATGGCCTCCGCCACGGGCAGCTGGTGAGTGACATTGGCTCCGTTCACATACTGGGTGATCCGCCCACCACATCCAGGGGTTCTGGGGGAAGACGGGGGGAAAAAAACCCCCCCAAAACAGGTCAGGTGGGTTGAAAAGGAAACCTGGAGCCTCTATTTCCCTTCCAGGTCGCGGCCAAGGATGATGGGACGGGAGGTAGTGAGGAGGGGGGGATTCTCCAGGAAGGAGGGGGAAATCTCATAAAAGTAAGATATTAGACTATCTTGCTGTCTAATAATAGGAAAATATCAGAATGTGCAGAAATGAATAGAGTAACGCTTGGTATAAAAGAGAAAGAACAAACTGGATATTATACGACATTTATTTTATTTATTTATTTATTAGTTTGATTTATATGCCGCCCTTTCTCCGGAGACTCAGGGCGGCTTACAATGCTTTTAAGCAATAGCCTTTACACTTTTGTACATACCTGCTTAGTAGGGCTTTTTGGACATGGGGGTTATTTTATGAATGGTTGGAGAATAAAAATAGAAACAATTGGAGATCAGTGAAATATAGAAAAGACGTGAAGAGAGAGAAGTAAACAATATGATGACTCTTACTAATATGACTATTTTTTTTTAATTAAATATTTTATTAGTTTTAAAAGTAAAACAATGGACATTGCTCAACGTCTCTGGTTTCTAACATTTACGTCAAAATCAAGTTAATAAGAGGAAGAATGCCAAAAACAAGGGATAACGAATGTCTGGAAATGTATATATCAATGTATATCAATATATCAATGTATATTGAACTTGTGAATGTAATATAGGTTTATTAAATACATGCATAGTTGGTTAGCAAGTAAAACACTGTATACCTGATATATAATGAAATAAGAGATATGTAAATTTGTATATAGATCGAGGAATAGATTACTTATTAACTTACTAATATTACTATTATAATTATTATATTTAATATTATTACTATGTTATTAGAAGAGGGAGAAATGAATAGATTATTAGGCTCATTATTATTATTGTAAGATTAGAGAATCAATATCAATGTAATGAATACTGTTGTAAATTTTGATTGTTATGGCACAGAGATATTTGTACCCGACTCATGTTCTCGACTTATGACAATTGAGCCCGATACTTCAGTTTTTGCCCCAGTTGTTAAGGGAATCACCGCAATTGTCAAATGAATTGCAACATGTCCTGTAAGTCGAGGACTACCTATGTATAGATTCACTATGGGCTAAAGCTCTCCACAAGAATCTGAACTACTCATCGATCAAAGCAAATTGACGGTAGATAAGAATTCAAGGTGAGCTGGACTTCGATCTCTTATGGGCACGAAGGGATTCGAGGCTGATGAGACACTTGATGCCTCCCCACAGCTTCAGCCTGGTCATCTACAATTGGCTAAATCAGGATTGTCAAACTCGCGGCTCACGGGCTGGATGCGTCACGCGCTGGACACGCCCACGCCCTGTTTAGCGAAGGGGGGAAAAGGTCGCAATATGTCACGTGACGTTGCGAGTTTGACACCTCTGGGCTAAATGATCTTACGTCCTTGCCTTGGGAGTCCCAAAATGAACATTAACTAGGACAGGAGGGAGATAACCAAATCATTTTTGGAGCCTCCTATGCTAAATTTGACTCAAATGTCCCCGGAACAAGAATCCAGGTGGAGCGAGACTGGAGCAAAAGGGATGAAAAAGAGATTTCGGGAAAGAGCTTCTTCTTACCTATCGCAGGTGGTTCAGGTTTGCTGAAGAGGTCACGCCACGAGGTGTCTAAAAACATATTGCTGTATCGGCTGTCGACGGAGCCCATGTATTTCGCGACCGGGTGAGATCCTGGCGGAGGAACACAAGGAAGTTTATCAACAAAAAAGGCAGGCAGAGATGGAGAAAAAGCGGAAATGCGAGTTGCAAATACAAATGCATGTTTTGCAAAAAAAAATGCAAGTGCAAAATGTTTTGATTAAAAAAAAAACAAACATTTCTCGATCTAGGCTGAAGCTGAAACAGACCGAGTGGCCAGTTTGCAAACACATCTTTTTTACATCGTGGCGACCAAAACTGGATGCCGTATTCCATAAGTGTGGCCTTACCAAGGCCTTATATAGCGGGATTAACACTTCACGTGATCTTGATTCTATCCCTCTGTTGATGCAGCCTAGAACTGTGTTGGCTTTTTTTTTGGCTGCTGCCGCACACGGCTGGCTCATATTTAAGTGGTTGTCCACTAAGACTCCCAAGATCCCTCTCACAGTTACTACTATTGAACGAGGTATACTGTACCTGTGCATTTGGTTTTTCTTGCCTAAATGTAGAACCTTGGATCTATAGGACAGATCCAAGACGCGGCTTTAGAGAGACTCTTTTTATAATCCACCTGAGCCGCCCAGAGTCCCTTGGGAGTGGGGCGGCATAGAAATGCGACAAAATAAAATAAATAAATAATAAATAAATGTCAGACTGCGATGCTATCTCAAAATTAAATGAATTTCCAAACTGCCAATCTTTAAGGAAACCTTTCTTTAATTGAGCACAGTCACCGGATCATGACTCCACGCGGACAAGACTGACCTTTTGCCTCCCAATCCCTCCCTTTCCGATCCCCAAATCTCTGCTTCTCATTGGCTGCCTTCCAAGTCATTCTTCAGACTTCTTTTTCTCGTCATTTCCCAGGAATGTGCCCCCTCCCCTCATTTCCACGACAACCGGCTTCAAAGGGACTTAGCAGGCAAAAGTTTCAGAGTTTATCTCTCGCTCTCCTCTGCTCTCTATGCCAGCGTTGAAACAGCGCTGACAATAAATCTCCGACCCTGATTTTAGCAATCAGGCTGTAATTCTGTTACCTAGAGGGATGATGAGGAATCTCATGTGGTTGAGCCAGTCTGACGTCTTGTTGGCCAGCTGCTTCACGAAAAACCTCAAAATGGCACTCAGGTAGCTTTGGCCCCCGACGGACACCACCTTCACGGGACGCGGCATGGAGGAATTGCAATTGCAGCTGTAGAGAGAGAAAGAAAAATGGATGGATGGATGGATGGATGGGATAGATAGATAGATAATAGAATGATAGATGGATGGATGGGATAGATAGATAATAGAATGATAGATAGATAGATGGATGAATGGATGGATGGGATGATAGATAGATAGATAATAGAATGATAGATAGATAGATAGATAGATGGGGATAGATAGATAGATAATAGAATGATAGATAGATGGATGAATGGATGGATGGGATAGATAGATAGATATATAATAGAAATGATAGATAGATAGATAGATAGATAGATAGATAGATAGATAGATAGATAGATAATAGAATGATAGATAGATGGATGAATGGATGGATGGGATAGATAGATAGATAGATAATAGAATGATAGATAGATAGATAGATAGATAGATAGATAGATAGAGATGGATGGATGGATGGATGGATGATGGATGGATGGATGGATAGATGGGATAGATAGATAATAGAATGATAGATAGATAGATAGATAGATAGATAGATAGATAGATAGATAATAGAATGATAGATAGAAGATAGATAGATAGATAGATAGATAGATAGATAGATAGATAGATAGATAGATGGGATAGATAGATAGATAGATAATAGAATGATAGATAGATAGATAGATAGATAGATAGATAGATAGATAGATAGATAGATAGATAGATGATAGAATGATAGATAGATGGATGGATGGACGGATGGACCGATTGATGGGGGGAATCTATAGTCCAGCCTCTCTTTGTAACAGAGAGAACCTCCAATCAGGACCAGGATTTTATAACCTATCAACCTTCCTTCTAAAAACTGCCAGTCGTGAGGGAGGCCAAAGTGACCGACGGGACTTTCGGTGAACTCACTATCTCTGGATCCGGGTGAGGAGGGCAGAGAGGACGGCTTGCACTTCGACAGTGGAGCAGGTGCAGACCACGGGTTTCTTCTGATCTTGGAGGAGATCGGCGACGTACTAGAAACAAAAACAAAGATGCAGTCAGGCTGGAGGCAGGACGTGGCTTGTGGCCAATACAGCAGCTGTGCAAAACCTCTTCCCGAGGATTAATCAACATGACAGGCCTGGAAGCCATCTTTTTCGTTGCTCTTCATCAGCCCTGCAACATTTCCTATTGTGGGAAACTGGGAGGGGGAATTCTATGGAGCCAGGGTGATATGTAGTCATAATAACATTCCTTTCTAAGAGAGTCAAGGACATCCTGCCCTGCACCTTATATATATAATATATATATATATATATATTATATTTATAAGGCAGAGATATCTGTAATGGTAGTTTAATACTCTGACGATGTCAGCAGATGGCTGACGAAAGCTTAGTAGAATAAAATTTTAAAATTTTAAGTTCCGGAGCTCGCAGAATGTCTGCTTCTTTCTTTACTAATATACCGGGAACTCGTATTTTTAGAATGTTTGTGTAATATAAGAATTCAACCAGCTCCCCGAATACCAGGGTCCTGTACGGGGTCTTGAGCTCCGAATGTTGACCCGAGACTGGGCGATGTGAAGAGTCAGGGAAGATGGAAGAGGACAAGGGACACAATAAAAGAGAATATTGGCAGCTCGGGGTTGAAATGAAGGGTCCTTGGTGCTCTCGGACTTCGGTAGTTTTCTCGCAGAGGTTTTGTGACCCAGCTAGGTAACATCTGTGTGCAGGCACACACAGGTCTTCCTTCCAGGTCTTCAGGTTTGAGAAGCGGAAATTGGGTTTCGGCAAAAGTCATGAAATAATAATTTCTCAAATCACCGTCAACTTTTGCCGGCTGAGTTGCTGTAAAGAGAACCGGTGACTTACCTGGCCTTGCCAGTCTACGGCGTTCACCAGGATCACGTTTTCGGGCAGTGCGGCATCCGACACGAGGATATGATTCAGCTGGTCGTAAACGACCTTGCGAGGAATCTGGGTGGAGAAAAGCAGGCAGGTTTTGAAGGGCTGCCAGCCCTTTGGGGTAGTCCAGACAACTAGGAGTACTAACTGTGAATTTCGTGAAAGATTTTCACAAAATCTTCATCAAACGAAATCTTCATCAAATGGGAACCCTGAAGGTTGTTGTAACTTGCTGTCTGAATGCTTCGGAAGTGTAGCCAGTCAAGAAAAGCTGATCCAGAGGATACTCTCTAACATTCTACTCAACAAGTCACCTCAATACAAGGCAAGTTTAGCCAATACAATTCAACTCAACTCAATGAAAAGCAATGCAACTCAACTCAACTCAACGTCAACAAGTCAACTCAACTCAATGCAAGGCAAGTTAAGCCACCTTAATTCAATACAACCCAACTCAGCAAGTCAAGTCAAGTCAACTCAACTTATCAACTCAGCTCAATGCAAGGCAAGTTAAGCCAACTCAACTCGACGAAAGGCAAGGCAACTTAACTCAACAACTCAACTCAACTCAATGCAAGGCAAGTTAAGCCACCTCAATTCAATACAACCCAACTCAGCAAGTCAAGTCAAGTCAACTCAACTTATCAACTCAGCTCAATGCAAGGCAAGTTAAGCCAACTCAACTCGACGAAAGGCAAGGCAACTTAACTCAACAACTCAACTCAACTCAATGCAAGGCAAGTTAAGCCACCTCAATTCAATACAACCCAACTCAGCAAGTCAAGTCAAGTCAACTCAACTTATCAACTCAGCTCAATGCAAGGCAAGTTAAGCCACCTCAATTCAATACACCTCAACTCAACAAAAGGCAACTCAATTCAACTCAACTCAACAAGTCAACTCAACAAGTCAACTAAGCTCAATGCAAGGCAAGTTAAGCCAACTCAACTCAACATCAACTCAACACAAGGCAAGTTAAGCCAACACAACTCAATTCAATGAAAGGCAAGGCAACTCAACTCAACTCTACTCAACAAGTCAACTCAACTCAAGGCAAGGCAAGCTAAGCCAACTCAACTCAAGTCAACTCAACGCAAGGCAAGCTAAGCCAACTCAACTCCATGAAAGGCAAGGCACTACCCAATTCCAGACCCACTCATCAGATCCGGAAGAACATTTCCTCATTCTAATATGAAACCAGGGGTGTACAGCGCAGCAGAGCAGATTCCCCACCCCATCCTTACTCCAACTGAAAGCTGCTTCAAGAGAGGAAGTTAATTCTGTTCCTGCCACCCTCATCCTTTCTCCCCAAATCCGCCGAAGGGGGTCCTGAACCACGGTAAGCGGCATCGTAGTCGTAGCTCACCTGTGTACTGTGACATAAATCCGGGGACCTTTCGCTGTCGGAGCTGTTGGTCCTTTCGCTCAGCGGCTTGGAAAGCTGACGTTCCTTGAGCGGGGTGCTGCGTTTCTGACGGGGGTGTGCACGGTGCTGTCCATTTTGCTGCCACCGATAAGAAGAAACACGTCAGTTAATAAACTTAGTGCTGTAAAAACTCAGGGAGGATAATCCAAGTGACGCCACAACTAGAGGGGAAGTCTGAGGTTGCTTCTTCTTGACAACAGGAGCCAAAAAGGGGTAGTCCTTGACTTACAATCGTTTGTTTAGCGACACTTTGAAGTTACATCGGCACTGGAAAACAAGGGACTTATAACCGGTCCTCATATTCAGGACTGTCGCAGCTTCCCCAGTCACATGATCAAAATTTGGGTGCTTGTATGTCTCTCTCTATCTTCTGTCTATCTACAATATCTATCTATCTATCTATCTATCTATCTATCTATCTATCTATCTATCTATCTCTATCATTTATCTATCTCTTCACCTTCTCTCTCTCTCTCTCTCTCGTCTATCTACAATATCTATCTATCTATCTATCTATCTATCTATCTATCTATCTATCTATCATTTATCTATCTCTTCACCTTCTCTCTCTCTCTCTCTCGTCTATCTACAATATCTATCTATCTATCTATCTATCTATCTATCTATCTATCTATCTCTTCACCTTTTCTCTCTCTCCTGTCTATCTACAATATCTATCTATCTATCTATCTATCTATCTATCTATCTATCTATCTATCTATCTATCTATCTTTTATCTATCTCTTCACCTTCTCTCTCTCTCTCTCGTCTATCTACAATATCTATCTATCTATCTATCTATCTATCTATCTATCTATCTATCTATCTATCTATCTATCTATCTATCTATCATATCTATCATCTCTCTCTTCACCTTCTCTCTCTCCCTCTCTATCTTCTGTCTATCTACAATATCTATCTATTGCTCCTAGAAGCACGAAGCCGAAGACACCAGCCTGAAGATGACGAATGAGACTTCGTCGAAACGTTGCCAAGAAACCTCCAATTTTACGCGGGAGAAAACCCGAATAACCAAAGAACCAATATCTATCTATCTATCTATCTATCTATCTATCTATCTATCTATCTATCTATCTATCTATCTATCTATCTATCTATCTATCTATCTATCTATCTATCTATCTATCTAAAATGATTGTATTTTCTTTCATTTTAAACTGTATTTTATTCCAATTTTCATTTTAAGTCATATTTCATCCAATTCCATTTTAAATTGGTTTTCTCCGATTTGAGTAATAATTTGGGGTCTGGAACTCTGCCCTTTTGATATGGCCCAAGGGCGAATCAATGAAGTCAACGAAACCAACCTGGGCGAGGCCATGCTTTGAAGGTCCCCCTTGCTCGTTTTCATCGGCGTCTTGACTTTTTCGGGGATAATTAAGGTGTTGGAGAGGTCCCCATAAGTGTCCTGCTCGTTCCCTTCCTAGACAAACGGGGAAAAGACACGTTCAGTGCTGATTTGTTTCCTCCTCCCCCACCAAGGAACCCAAAGAGAATCCGCTACTTCCTAAGCGCTTACCAGAATGTCTGTTTCGTTGATGTTGTCGTCCATGATTTTGGTCCGATTCGGTTTGAGTTTGTCCCCGGAGGAGGCTTCGATCTGGATTGGATGTGAAGGAGAAAAAAAAAAAAGGATCTTAAAAATAAAAAACAAACAAACCACATATCCAGAAGAAGACAATTCAAAATATTCGCTTTCAGGATTCAGACGGATGCTTCCAAAGAAATCCAGTTATTTATGAGGAGCTTCATGTGGGCACGTTCCCAAGTGAAGCCAGCTCTGACCCCACATAATTTACGCCCCAAATCATGACCCTGTTTCCCCCCCCCCCCAAAGGTGTGTCATCAATCACATTCACCACCAGAGCAATTTCTCGGACTGTAGAGATCACTTCCCTCGGCCGCTGTGGGTAACCCTGGGAGACAGCCTTGAGAGAGATATGTCTGGAATGTACTTCTGTTTTTGGCTGCCATGCTGCTTCATCAGTTTCCCATCCCCCTTGCCTATGGCGACTCGAGAGCGGGCCAGGGATGCTTTGCGAGTTGACATTTGCATTGAGGCAGGCAGGCCCCTCTACTTAAGAAAGATATACAGGAAGTCCTTGACTTATGACCACAATTGAGCCCAATATTTCTGAAGTTGGTTAAGCGAGTTTTGCCAACTTTTACGACCTTTTTTTGCCTCAGTGGTTAAGTGAACCACTGCAGTTGATAAGTCAGTCACCCAGTTGTTAAATGAATCGGCCTTCCCCCTTGACTTGGCTGATCAGAAGGTCGCAATAGGGGATCACGTGACCCCCGGGATGCTGCGACCGTCATAAATATGAGTCGGTGGCCAAGCGTCCGAATTTTGATCATGTGACCATGGGAATGCTGCAATGGTCGTTAAGTGTGAAAAATGGTCGTACGTCACTTTTTTCAGTGTTGTTGTAACTCTGAATGGTTGCTAAATGAACCGCCGTAAGTTGAGGACTTAATGTCTACAGCAGTTTGCTGCGTATAGGTAATCCTTGACTTACGACCAGAACTGAGCCCAAAATTTTCCCTTACTGGGTGAGATAGCTAAGTGAGCTTTGCCCCGTTTTACGACCTTCCTTGCCACCGTTGTTAACTGAATCGCTGACTCTGGTCGTCAGGAAGTCGCAAAAGGGGGAAATCACGTGATCACTGCAACCGTCGTAAATATGAGCCACTTGCCAAGCGTCCGAATTTTGATCACGTGACCCGCGGGGATTCTGCAGTGGGCGTTAAGTGTGACCGACGGTCGTACGCCATTTTTTTTCGGTGGCTGTTGTAACGTGGAACGGTCGCTAAACGAAATGTTCGTAAGTCAAGGACTACCTTATACAGTGCTGCCTTGTCAGGATAGGGAAAACATATCTTATTTTCCTGCTGGAATTGCAATAATTTCTAACGTCCGGGTGGATATTTTCCTGTTGTTGTTGTTGTTGTTGTTGTTGTTTTCTGTCGACTTACTGGGCTGGTGGCGTCCTTCCCGAGGCTTCCTTTGCTGTTCAGGCTTCCAATTTCTGTCTGAGAACTGGACTGGGACATTCCTTCAAAGAAAGGCCTGGAAAACAAGAGCAGAGCGGGGTCAGGCGGCTGCCAAAAATCAAGAGGAATGAATGGACGATGGTCCCAAATTTTCCCAAGAGCAGCAGGAGAAGGTCCCCCCCCCCACTAAGGAAAACTTCGGAAAGACCACAAGGTTAGAAATCTCCCTGGAAATAGCCACAGCACTTAGACTTCTATACCGCTTCACAGGGCTTCACAGCCCTCTCTAAGCGGTTTACGGAGTCAGCCTCTTGCCCTCCAAACAATCTGGGTCCTCATTTTACCCACCTCGGAAGGACGGAAGGCTGAGTCGACCTTGAGCCTGGGGAAGATTCGAACTGCCAAATTGCAGGCAGCTGGCAGGCAGGCAGGATTAGCCTGCAGTACTGCACTCTAACTACTGCTCATCCATCCATCCATCCATCCATCCATCCATCCATCCATCCATCCATCTATCTATCTATCTATCTATCTATCTATCTCTATCTATCTATCTATCTATCTATCTATCAATTGATCTATCATCTCTCTCTCTCCCTAGCTAGCTAACTAGCTACCTAACTATCAATCTCAGTATCTCTCTCTCTCATCTAAATCTATCTATCTGTCTGTCTGTCTGTCTCTGTCTGTCTATCTATCATCTCTATCATATCTATCTATCTATCTATCTATCTATCTATCTATCTATCTATCTATATCTATCATCTATATCTATCTATCATCTATATCTATCAATCTATCTATCTATCTCTATCGATCTCCCTATCTATCTATCTCTCTAATCATCTCTCTCTCCCTAGCTAGCTAACTAGCTACCTATCAATCTCTATCAGTATCTCTCTCTTTTCTCTCTTTATCTATCTATCTATCTATCTATCTATCTATTGATCTGTCATCTCTCTCTCCCTAGCTAACTAGCTACCTAACTATCAATCTCAGTATCTCTCTCTCTCATCTAAATCTGTCTGTCTGTCTGTCTGTCTGTCTGTCTGTCTGTCTGTCTGTCTGTCTGTCTGTCTGTCTATCTATCTATCTATCTATCTATCTATCTATCTATCTATCATCTTTCTCTCTCTCCCTATCTCTCTCTCTCTCTCTATCGCAATAGCACTTATATACCGCTTTACAGTGCTTCACAGCTCTCTCTAAGCGGTTTACACGTCAGCCTCTCGCCCCAACAATTTGGGTCCTTATTTTACCCACCTTGAAAGGACAGAAGGCTGAGTCAACCTTGCGCCTGGTGAAGATTCGAACTGCCAAAATTGCAGGCAGCCGGCAGTCAGCAGCAGTAGCCTGCAGTACTGCCCTCTAACCACTGCGCCACCTCGGCTCATAAAAATCCGAGCGTGTACCCTCCAAATTTCATTTCTTGGGACATTTTCCGAAAAGGGTCGAGACGGTGGGCAGACGTCATGGCTTCCTCCGTTCGGCCCCCTTCGATTTCCCAGAACTCCCCCGCAGCGCTTACTTGAGTTTGGGCTTGGGGGTGCTGAGGATGCTCTCCGTATCCTCCATCTCGGGACCGCTGTCGCTGGGATTGTACATCTCCAGGCTGTCGTAAAGCTCGTCTAAGTCTTCTTCCACCTCCCGGATCTGCTCCCGAGAAACGTGTTCTAAGCCGAAGCCCACCTGGTGGAGAAAAAGGCTTCGCGGTCAGGATGGGGGGGGGGGCTCAACGCTCCGAGGAAACGTTTTCATGCCTTTGTTTCACGTGGGGGTGGGGGACTCGGCTTACGAGGGACCAGAATTTAGGATACTAAGCCAGGCCATAGTTGAGTGAGTTGCACCCAATTTTTTTTTACTTTTTTGAGGGAATTGTTAAACAAATCATTGTGGCTGGGGAGGGAGGGAGGAAGGAAGGAAGGAGAAAAGAAGGGAAGGAAAAGAGAAAGGGAGGGAGGGAGGGAGGGAGGGAAAAAAAGGGAAGAGAAAGAGGGAGGGAGGAAGGAGAAAAGAAGGGAAGGGAAAAAGAAAGAGGGAGGGAGGGGAAGGAAGGAGAAAAGAAGGGAAGGGAAAGAGAAAGAGGGAGGGCGGGAGGAAGGAAGGAAGGAGAAAAGTAGGGAAGGGAAAGAGAAAGAGGGAGGGAGGGAAGAAGAAAGAAGGAAGGAAGGAAGGAAGGAAGGAAGGAAGGAAGGAAGGAAGGAAGGAAGGAAGGAAGGAAGGAAGAAAAGAAGGGAAGGGAAAAAGAAAGAGGGAAGGAGGGAGCAGAAGGAAGGAAAGAGAAAAGAAGGGAACAGAAAGAGAAAGAGGAAGGGAGGGAGGGAGGAAGGAGAAAAGAAGGGAAGGGAAAGAGAAAGAAGGAGGGGGGAGGAAGGAAGGAGAAAAGAAGGGAAGGGAAAGGGAAAGAGGGAGGGAGGGAGGGAGGGAGGGAGGAAGGAAGGAAGGAAGGAAGGAAGGGGAATTCTGGGAGTTGAAGTCCTTCCATCAAGCTGCCAAGATTGGAAAACACTTATGTTAAAAGGCAATAGCTTTAGTCTGGCAAGATTCTGTCCCTCAGCAAATAAAGAACTGGGACTCGGTGGGATTTCCCGGTGCCGTCTATGGGTTTGGCCTCACGTGCGCCAAAAAACCGTAATTGGTTAACCAAAAGCTAGCCCGAAGCTACCGCCAACTAAACCCCCTTCTAGCTTTTGCAGACGGACATAAAAACCCCAAAACCTCCTTTCTTAAGTCTCAGGCACTCCTTTCTCGGCAGGAAGAGGACGATATTAAGGAGTCCGTTTGTGGAGTTTTTTTTTTCGCCACCACCCTCCGTACGAAATCTACATTTGCAAAGAAATCCGCTCCGCCCACCCCAGAGCCCAAAAGCCCATTTAACACCCATTTTTTTTTCCCTTTTTCCTTTTTTTTAACGGTCAAGTGAGTGAAATAGAAATCTAAAACCTGGCCCCGCTTACCTCATCCGAGACTTTGAACCTTTTCAGCAAAGCCACAAACTTCTGCTTAATATTTGGCTGCTGTGAAAAAGAGGGATGGGTTGCCTGTTAGAGAAAGAGCCGGGCGAGGGACCCGGGCCGAGAGAAGCCAAAATTTGGCAATGCGTACACAGGCCATGCTTCCCCCTCCCCCCCCCCCACCCGCAAAGAGCCAGGTGGAAAGCAATGTTGTGGCCCATCAGCGGCCTGTGCAGCTGGTATCTGATTCCGACAGCGAGGAGGCTGGTGTGGTGCTGCGCCAGCAGCCTGTGCAGCTGGCACTCGAGTCGGACAGTGAGGAGGCTGGAGAAGATGTGGTGCCAGAGGCGGGGATTCAGCCAGGGCCTTCAGTACCTCCAGAAGCTCCCATAAGTGAAGAGGACGAAGAGGAGGAGCCTCTTCTCGATGTACAGGCATGCAGAGCTACCAAAAGGCAGGAGTGGCTCCTCAGGAGGAGGTCTCCTCGAGAGTAAGGCTTGAGGGTTCCTTCAACCCTCCCTCATGCTCCCTTCCTTCCCTCCCTTCCTCCCTCCCTCATGCTCTATTCCTTCCTTCCTTCAATCCTCCCTCATGCTCTATTCCTTCCTCCCTTCCACTCTATTCCTTCCTTCCTTCCTTCCCTCCCTCCTTCCTTCCCTCCCTCATGCTCTATTCCTCCCTCCCTCCCACTCTATTCCTTCTTTCCTTCCCTCCTTCCTTCCCTCCCTCATGCTCTATTCCTTCCTTCCCTCCCTCATGCTCCCTCTTCCTTCCCTCCCTCCTTCCCTCCCTCATGCTCTATTCCTTCCTTCCTTCAATCCTCTCTCATGCTCTATTCCTTCCTTCCCTCCTTCCTTCCCTCCCTCCCAGTGGTTAGAATGCAGCATTGCAGGCTCTACTGACTGCCAGCAGTTCGATCCTGACTAGTTCAAGGTAGACTCAGCCTTCCATCCTTCCGAGGTCAGTAAAAGGAGGATCCGGATTTGTTGGGGGGCAAATATGCTGACTCTATAAACCGCTTAGAGAGGCCGTAAAAGTGCTGTGAAGCGGTATATAAGTCTTGCTATGAGGTCCAACATGACTCACCCGAGTGATGGCAGAAGCGGAGGTGAGTTTCCGTCTGGGTTTTTTCACCTTCCTAAGATCGTCGTCTTCGTAGAACAAATCCTGCCGGGAAGAAAACGGAGAAGCCATTGCAGAATTCAAGCAGCCTCCTTACTCAGAGTTTTTGTTTAAAAAAAAAAATCAAGCCAAACCCTGAAGGCGAGATACCGACGGGTCGTCCTTGACTTACGACTATACTTGGGATCAGAATTTTCACTGCTACCGTGTTTCCCCGAAAATAAGACCCGGTCTGCAATGGCCAACAACCCCAAGGAGAACAGCCAAGGTTGAAAATAGAATACAGAATACAAGAATTACAAAGTTGGAAGGCACCCTGGAGGTCATTTAGTCCACCCCCTGCTTCAAGCAGGAGAGCCTACACCATTCTGGACAAACGGCTGCCTAATCTCTTCTTGAAAACCTCCAGTGATGAAGCACCCACAACTTCTAGTGGCAAGCTGTTCCACTGGTTAAATTATTCTAATTATCAGGAAATTCCTCCTTAGTAAGTTCCAGGTTGCTTCTCTCCTTGGTTATACGTTTCCATCCCGGCAAGACGGATGCTGGACTCACCTGTCCGTGCAGGGGGTCATCGCTTCCTTCTTGCTCGGACGAGAAGCTCTCCTCTTCCTCCTCGGAGTAGTTATCAATGTCAGGGGAGCGATCTAAGGAAGCAAGGCAGACGATCAAACAAAGCTTTCGCGCCTCTCATGGCCTGCCTTGATTTTTGTCGTCTCTTTCGCCAAGCAAGCCGTGGCGGCAAGTGAAGCCGATCCCCACGCTCGTTGAATGAATCCTGTTTTCCCCACCCGTCGTTCGAAAAACCAGCTAGGACGGTTGCAAACGGCCATCGTGAGAGACACAAACATACACATAGGACGCTGCAACCTTTGTAAATACACACGGCCCCTGAATTTTGATCCCACGGGAGCTCACGCGGGAGCCTGCGACGGTCGTTAAGCGTGAGGACTGGTGGCCAGACACTACTTTCGGCGGCTGTCGCAGCTCCGAACGGACGCTAAATGCATGCATGGCCGTCGGTCGAGGACTTGCCTGCACCTGATAATTTAGACTTGAGTCCTTCGTGGTCGATGGGCTGGCTGGACAGGGAGTAGATTTTGATTTCGGCCACCGGCACGGAGACGTCTTTCGCGTTGCTGTGCAGTCCCAAGACCAGGGCCCCCTCGCTCGGGTGCTGCATCACCTGCCAATGACAAACAGAAGGCCAAATTGCCGCTGTGTGTGTGTGTGTGTCTCCGAAAGCTTAAAAACCACGAGCAAAATGCCCAGAGAGAGAGAGAGAGAGAGACAGAGAGATGGTCATTTGGCCTGTCTGGACCTTCCCCATCTGCCTCACCTACCTCGGCCATGTTGATCAGGCCCACGGCCAAAGTTTTGTAGCCTAGGAAAGTCCGGTTCTTGTACCGCTTCCTTCTCTGTAACATGATCTGCAGCTTGTTGGCGTCTCGCTTCAGGAAGTGAGGGTACTGCGGAAAGAAAGGCAGGGGAAGAGACCAAGAGAGGGAGGGGAGGGGAGGGGAGGGGAGAGGAGAGGAGAGGAGAGAAGAAGAGACCAGAAGAGGGAAAAGAGGGAAGAAACCAGAGGAGAGGAGAGGAAAGGAGAGGAGAAGAGGAGAGAGAAGAGGAGAGAAGAGGGGACCAGAAAAGAGAAAAGAGGGAAGAAACGAGAGGAGAGGAGAGGAGAGGAGAGGAGAGGAGAGGAGAGGAGAGAAGAATAGAATAGAATAGAAAATAAAAAATAAAAAATAAAAAATGGAATAGAATAGAGGAGAGGAGAGGAGAGGAGAGGAGAGGAGAGGAGAGGAGAGGAGAGGAGAGGAGAGGAAAAGAGAGGAGAGGAGAGGAGAGAAGAATAGAATAGAATAGAATAGAATAGAATAGAATAGAATAGAATAGAGGAGAGGAGAGGAGAGGAGAGGAGAGGAGAGAAGAGAAGAGAAGAGAAGAGAAGAGAAGAAGAGACCAGAAGAGGGAAAAGAGGGAAGAAACCAGAGGAGAGGAGAGGAAAGGAGAGGAGAAGAGGAGAGAGAAGAGGAGACCAGAAAAGAGGGAAGAAACGAGAGGAGAGGAGAGAAGAGAAGAGAAGAGAAACTTTTATTGTCATTTTTTACTATGAGCACATTGGCACACATTAAAAATGAAATTCTGTTGCCTGCTCTCAAAAGAAAGTATATATCTACCCATACACAACACACATATACACATGCTACACACACACACACACACACACACACACAGAGTGAGTGGGGTTTGCTACAACTGCCCCTTTGAGCACTGATGATGTAACCTAGTTGGGTCACGAAACGTCTGCAAGGAAACCACCCAGCTCAGAGAGCACCCAGGACCCCTCACTGCAACCCCGAGCTACAAATATTCTTCTTTGTCAAACGCGCGTTTTAAGTCCCGGTGTTTGGCGCAGAGCCGGAATTCCGCTCAAGCGCGCGCTTACCTGTAAGGAGAAAGTCAGCTGAAGTTCCGTTTCCACGAGTCCGCTGACGGGCAGCACAATCTCGTTGGACCTCAGGATGCGCTTGGAACCCTGCAAGAGGCGTGGGGTCAATTGGTCTGCTGCAAACAGCCGAGGCCGTCCTGGGATCGGAGTCCCCAAAGGGTATATTCAGGGGCGAATTGCTGGAGGTTCGTAGGGATTCGAGAGAACCTCTAGCTAAGATTGTGCAGGTTAACTCTACCGACTGCCAGGAGTTCGATCCTGGCCGGCTCATAGTTGGCTCAGCCTTCCATCCTTCCACGGTCGGTAAAATGAGGACCCAGATTGTTGGGGACAACATGGTGACTCTGTCAACCACTTAGAGAGGGCAGGAAAGCCCTGTGAAGCAATATATAAGCTTAAGAGCTTTTGCTATTTTCCACTTTGGACCCGATCGGTTCTTAAGCAACACAGAGCGAGTAACTTCTGTGACTCTTAAGGCTACTATGTAGTTGCCACGTCCTCGTTCCTCAGCATGACATACCTGCAACTTGACGGCAATCACCACCGAGCTGAGATCCTTATCCATCTCTTTCAGCATGATGAGCTTCTTCAAGGTAAGACTGAACAGCCTATAGAGTGAGAGGGGAAAAGCTTAAAAATCCATCAAAAATCCAGGTAGAAATCTCTTGGATCCTGATGTAAAACAGAAAGGAAAATGCTTTTATACGACATTTGCCTAGAGCAGTGATTCTCAACCTTGGCAAGTTTGAAGACGTGTGGACTTCAGCTCCCAAAATTCCCGAGCCAACTGTGATCTGCTCACCTTACGGAGTTAGAATCAGCATACCTGGTGTATGACGTCAACAGGTAAGCAGGCAAGCTAAACCCAACCGGCTAAATTCAGACAAGAGAAATTCCACAAGGGAAATTCAGACCAGGGAAATTCTACAAGATAGAATATTCCACAAAATAGTTCTACAAAATAAAATAACCGAGTTGGAAGGGACCTTGGAGGTCTTCTAGTCCAACTCCCTGTTGAGGCTAAATTCAGACAAGCTAATTTATGTATGTATGTATGTATGTATGTATGTATGTATGTATTTATTTATTTAATTTTAATTTGTATACCGCCCTTCTCCAGCAGGACTCAGGGCGGTGAACAGCCAGAATAAAACAGAACATACCAAATTTAAAAACAGTTTAAAAATGATTAAATATTTTTGGCCGCAATTTAAAACAACCCAATTAAAATCAATTAAATTTAACCAAAACAGTGGGATCAAGCCAGCCCACTGGCATTCAACAGCTAGCCAGAGATGCTCCCTTCAATCAAACTGAGATTTAGATGCAAAAGACTTCTTGGCTTCCAGGAGCTCCATTAAAAGGGGTTTTTTGGTCGACTACCACCTCCAACGATAAGTGCTTTGCCGTTCATTTATTTGACCCGGTCTCCGGATATAAAACCAATTCTTTGACACGCTTCTTCAAAAAAAAAAAAACCAATTCTTTGCCCCAAAAAATAGACTATTCCCTAACAAACTTGAGATTTTAAAAATAATATCAGCCAATCGGAAAAGCCAAAATAACCCCGGAAAAAAAATCAGTTCTTGCTAAGGGCTGGCATTTGATGGACAAAGAAGTCTCATTTCTGTATTTTAGATTTGTTTACTGTAGCCGAGCGGAGAGTTATGGAAAAAGGCAGCAGGTTTGTTTAAAACAATGTACAATATTTATTCTGGAGCTGCCCTGCCTGAGGATTTTTATTGGAGTATGTAGAAGATACGTATCTTCGTTTGGCCGCTTTGGGATACAGATGGAAAAATTGGAGCAATTTTTGGAGTGCCCGGGGTTAGCTGGCTGGTTTAAAAGAAACGCAACTTTCTTTCTTTCTTTCTTTCTTTCTTTCTTTCCTTCTTTCTTTCTTTTTTTTTTTGGCTGAAAATCTTCGAGGGGAGAAATGTCTGCCTTGAAGGTTTTGATTGTTGATAAGAATCAGGAAACAATCAATAACCCTCCGGAGAGAAACAAATACGATTATGCCGACAGCTATAGTTAATCTGAGCAACTGCAGAATTCAGCTTCACGCTATCCTGTTATTTCTACCTAAAATTAGCTTCCTTCCTTCCTTCTTCCATTCTTTCCAGCCTTCCTTCCTTCTCTTTTTCCTTCTTTCCTCCTTTCTCTAGCTTCCTTTCCTTTCCTTCATTCTTTCCACTTTCCAGCTTTCCTTCCTTCCTCCCTTCTTTCCATTTTCTTCTCCCTTTCCTCCCTCATTCCTGTTTTCTTCTAATTCCTCTCTTCCTGTTTTTCCTTCCTTCCTTCTCTATCTTCCTTCCTTCCTTCTTTATCTTCCATCCTTCCCCTTCTCTTCTTTCCTTCCTTCCCTTTGTCTTCCTTCCTTCCTTTTCTTTCCCCTTCATTATCCTCTCCTTCCTTCTTTCCTTCCTTCCTCCACCCTCCCTTCTTTCTTTTCTTCCATTTCTCTCCCCTTCATTCTCACTTCCTTTTCGCTCTGCACAAACCACAATTTTAGAAAGGATGAAATAAATAAATAAATAAATAAATAAAAGGCACTTCTGAAGCGATGAGCACAAGTTGCAAAGAGTTATTTTTTACCTGGGTTGTGTTGATGCCACCAAAACTGACTTCGGGCAAACCAGCTACGGGATTGTTTTATCTTAAGCCGCAAACTAACTAGCATCCGGGGGCGGATTGATTTCCTTATCGAATTTCTACGCTGCCCATCTAACCTAAGCAACTTTAAGCGGCTTGCAAACAAGATAAAGGAAACGATATAAAAGAACGTGGCCGAAAGCACGCTTAAAAACGGGAAAAAATTAAAAATCAGGTTAAAATTTTGCAAGATCGGATGGAAAAGTTGGGACACTAGTTTCCACACCCGGCTGCAAATGCAATGAACAGCATTATTTGCAAAGACGCACAAACGTGAGTTGCCTAGAATCCGGATTCTAAAAAGCAAGTCCAGTGTGATTTTTCAAATTAAAATCAAATTAAATCTCCTTTGGGAGAATGGCGGTATATAAATTTAAATATTAAATTAAATTAAATTAAATTAAAAAGAATTAAGGAAAGCCAAAACTGCCCGTTTTCCCCCTTCAGTTCCAGTGCCATGGAAGGAAAAGGCCTCTGATGTAACAGGAAAGCTTGTTCAGCTTCTACACACACCCACACACACAACAACAACAATAACACAAGCTTAGATTTTCCACCCTCTAATTTTTCCCCTGCAAAACACAAAACTAGAGTGCTGACATCCATTTCCGAAAGGGCCACCTGCAAAAAGAAAGCACTGAGATTCGCTTTAATGCTACACACACACACACACACACACACACACACACAAAAGTACAACAACAACAACAGAAGCCTGGATTTGCCACCCTCTAATTTTTCCCCTGCAAAACACGAAACTAGAGTGCTGACATCCATTTCCAGAAGGGCCACCTGCAAAGAGAAAGCACTGAGATTCGCTTTAATGCTACACAAACACACCCACACGTACACACACACACACACAAACAGACTGGAGAAAGGACTTCTTTCTGTGCCACATGGCAGCTGAGCGAATAGAGGCTTGAAGATATTCTGAGATTCTTATTCTGAGATTCGTTTTAATGCTACACAAAAACACACACACAAACACACACAAGATTTGTGTGTTACACAAATACACAAAAAGACTGGAGAAAGGAACTTTCCCCTCTGTTCCACCGGGGCAGCTGAGCCTAACAGAAGCTTGAAGGTTATTCTATTATTCTGTGTTTGAAGATAATTCCATTATTCTTACATTTTGAGATTCATTGGTAATGCTACCTACACACACACACACACACATAGACACACAATGACACAAATAGACTGGAGAGAGGGACCCTCCCTTTCGGTGCCACTTTGCAGCTTTCGAGTGTGCAGTGAAAAGCGAAAGTGTGACAACGAAGGAAAAAAGTTGGCTGAGAAAATTGGAGGGTTTTTTTTTTTCCTCCCCCGCTTACATTAATTACACTCCAATTATCTTTTTAACTTCCAAATGCTCTTTTATTTTTATTTTTTATTTTTTTATTTTTTTTGCTGGAGCGCTGCAGAGAATTTTTTTTTTTTTTTTTTTAAAGGGAGCCATTTTTTTTAACAGCTGGGTTTTTATTTCAAGCCCAAAATATCTCACCCGATGTTATTTCTTTCTGAGGAAAGGGATAGGCTTCAAAAATTTTTAGCAAGGATTTCTCTGCCCGGTTGCTGAGTGGGCGTGGCCATGGTGGGTATGGCCTAGTTGGTCTCCTGTACCACGGAGGGGGGGGGAAATGGTTTTGCCCTCCCCGGGCTCCAGAGGCTTTTCTTGAGGTAAAAACGGCCTCCCCAGGCTCCGGAGGCCCTTTTCCGGTCTTCCAGAACGTCCGGTAGGCCCGTTTTTCGCCCTCTCTGAGCCTCCACGCCCACCATGCACTTACCTGCATTCAAAACGGGCCGCGTGGGGACTCCTGAGAGGGGAGGGGTAGGCGGGGCCAGCCAGGAGTGAGATTTGGGGATTTCCAAAATAATAATAATAATAATATTTGCATGGTTATGAAGCAACAGAGCAAGAATGGCAACCACTTCCGTCTCCCTGACAGCAACGTTTCTACAGTATTTTAGTCTGATGCAAAAAGCTACTACGACTCAGAACAGGTGGGCTTCGGCATACGACCACAATTGAGCCCCCCAATTTCTGTTCTTAAGCGAGACATTGGTTCAGTGAGTTTTGCCCCGTTGTTACGAGTTTCCTGGCCACAACGGAAATGAAGCAGCTGTTACTGACTTAACGATGGCGGTGATTGACCGAGGACCTCACAAAAGAAAATACTCCGCTAATTTAACTTGGACATACCGGTAAATCCCACCACCACCCCTTGTTCCAAATGCTAGAATTGAGCACTCGAAAATCTACCCTAATACTGTTTCAAGCATTATTTATATCGATACGAGAATTTGGAATTCTCCGCGCGGCACAGACGGTTTCTTCCTTAACAATTGATTGCAAATCACACTCGGCTCGGATCTATATATCCAAACTCACTTTCTCTGACATCCTCCGCCCTGCCCTGAGGGCAAACAGGGTGTCTCTTTAAACTTTAAATCAGTGCTTCCTCTTTTTTTTCCCCTTCTTCATTACCTCAGAAACTCTATCGAATTTTAAGGTTATAACCCGCTTCCTTTGGTACCGTCATAACTTTGAAAAGTCGCTGACAATGGTTGTAACCCGAGGAATACCTTTATTATAAAAAACAGCGTCAAGGAATGAACTTGAGGTCCCTTCAACAAATAATCGCTGGCAATTTCATCTGTTTTCACCTTGATAAGAAATATTTTGGGAGGTTTTCACACACACGTTTTAGCACGGGTGGCCGCCTTTAAGCCAATTTAAATGTCCCTGCTGTATAAGGTAATGAGTTCGTGTGTCTTACCCGAAGGAAAAGCAATTTGACTCAATTTTAGGTAATTTAGGCTGGCTTGCTCTAGTGGTTAAAGCACCAGGCTAAGAAACTGGGAGAAGGTGAATTATAGTCCTATGTTGGGCATGAAAGATGGCTGGGTGACTTTGGGCCGATCACCAGAAGACGGTGAGTTCTAGTCC